CTCACGTTCCCACCTCATCGCCTCAGCACGAAGCTCCATCAAAGTAAGTGTGGGCTGCCTTCGAACCAGCTGTTTAAGCTCGCGGCGCAGAGCACAATCCAGTACATGTTCTGTAAATTGATCTCTCAACAACACTTCTGCATTTGGCATTCCGTCTGGGGCCTGCAGTCTAACTCGCGCCATCAGGGACATCAAAGCTAGTGAAAATTCCTGAAGGCTCTCACCCTCCATCTGACGCCGAGCAAAGAAGTCCTGTTGCAAAGTTATGTAAGACTGATGGCAACCATAGAGCTCCTTTAAAATGGACAAGATTTTACCTGGGTCGCTACGTTCATCAGCGGGACGAAACTTGATCTCCTGTTTAGCCTCTCCCTCCAAGTGGTCAAAGATGAAAAGAGCCCTGTCCACAGCAGTCAAATGTCGGGCCCGCATACATGCCTCAACCTCCTCGACCCATTCAGCGATCCCCAAGCCAGCCTTCCCATTAAAGATGGGGCACTTGCGGTCCCTTGGTACCACCAACAACCGCTCCGCTACAGCGGGGGTGGGGGACTGTGCATGTGAAGCGGAGGACTGAGAGGCGCCCTCGCCAGGGTCCAAGGAACCAGCACGATCCCGACGGAGCCGCTCATTATCCGCCTGAAGCTGTAAAACAAGATCTTTTAGCTGCTGCACTTCTTCCATGTCAGCTCAAGAAACTGCCAAAGGTCCTGAAGAAAAAATGTTTGGGTCCCAACACCACCATCGCTGCTCTGGATTTTTTTTATTTTATTTTATTTTATTTTTATTTTTTTTTACAGAAATTAAATAGGAAAGTTAACAAAAAAAAACAAACAACAAAAAAGTCTCTGCCCCTTTAACTTAGCGGAATCCTGCCAGCAACGCCAAATGTGGCAATACGGAGCGGACATACATAACCAGCAACGCCAGGGCATATGATACCCAAAAATGTCCAATTTGTACTCGGATCTAAGGCACACAGGTAAGCTTAAATTGACTGGACAGAGGCAGAAGTTAAACGTTTAGTTTTTAATGGAGCAACTCTTGGTAATAAATAGGTTCTGTACATCAGTTCTTCGCACTGACCACAGTCTCTCGGTCATTGTCCATAGTTAAACAGCATCATAGTTCTTAAAAACAGACGCTCGCTGATTTCGTCCAAACAAGAAGGGGAGGCGGGCACGCCGCCAGCACCCTACAACATTAAAACATTGACACTGAAATAAAACATGTACTACATTGAAACAAAAGACAGACAAAAGATTATAACAAAACATACCAGAAAGCAAAGTGTAGCGTTCCCCGCACCATACCGAGACCCCGAGCCTCTGACCATGCTCAGCTATGCGGTAGCCGGGCCAACACGCACAATGCTAAAAACAATAGTTAAATTAGTGACGCAGCCGACCAGCGGCGCAATTAAAAGCTACGAGCGGAGCTTACCAGCGACGCAGTAAAGTTGGGGACCACCCAGTTGCTGGCCTTAAGCCTCAGCCGCCGGCTTGACGCCCTGACACGACCCATAGCAACCTCCCAACTAGCCTGCCTCGCTCCGAGCCCCGTGCAGCGGATGTGACGTTGGATAGAGGAGAGGCAAGGTAGCGCAATTGACAGGCTTTTATACTGCGCCCCCTACTTTCACTAGGGAGCTTATGCCAGCTCACTACATTTGCCCCCCCTTTCTTTATCGCCGTCCCGGTGATGATAAAAACAATTTGCAGTCTACGCGCTTATCCTGGGCGCCACTGACAACGGAGTGATGCCCTGAAGGCCCCCCACCCCAGGCGTTACACCCAGTACGAAGCGAGCGCACCGACCATGACAGTACAGTGCTTGGTGCTGTCCCCACTCCAACACCACACCGCCCATAACCATACCTCCCCTTCTAGACACTTAGGACTCACGACGCCGCAACAGTGAAACAATTTTCCGCCATGTACTGTAGTAGACTATCCTCGCTCAACAGATTTGCTTAAACGACAAAACACAAGAAAATAAAACACTATAGCTGCTATGATGGTTATTCATTCTTGTTAAACACATTCACAGGTGGTGCTTAAGCATATCACACCTAGGCCATGTCACAGTTGCAGGAGCACACTAGCACATGGCATTATCATTACATGTGTCACATTATGTCCCACGTCCTAAAACATCTATATGATACAGCACACAACACTACATGCAAATACACACTGTACAATAAAATAAAACACACAGGACAAGGTCTGCCAGCAACGCCAAATGTGACATAACGAGGGTTAAAAGTACAGGTTAAAAATGTTGCTATTGTCAACAACGCCACCTAGGATAGGCCTAGGACCCTGCACAAGGCAGACACAGGTTCGCTTCCCTTTTTAAAGTGATGGGGGCAGAGACAAAACCAAAACTTGACTACAAAAGTACAACATTTATTTTCATTAAAACATTTTTAAGTTAGGAACATTTGATTAATAATGGTAATTGCCAAAAGCCAAACACAAAAAAACACATGCACACACACACACACACATGCAAAGGACAAAGAAAAAAAAAGATTAAACAATCCTAAACTCAATTACAGTTAAAATGTACAAATTTACAGTTTGGGTGTCCAGGTGCTCTGTGGGCCTAATATTGATGATCAGTGTCCACAACTGGAGCGACTCTGGCCTGTGGGGTCAATCCAGAGCAGTGGAGGCAGGAGGAGCTGCGCCGGTGGAAACGGCGCTCAGAATTTGTGTACTTGTGATGATTGGGAAAAATTAGGTATCGCAGCTTTAATTCAGCGAGTGCGCTTCGGGAGAAGACACAGAGGAGACTGAGGCTCTGTAGTCCAGCTTCAGAGGTGTATATATTGCACGCACAGGTTACGCCCCGGGTCAGAACGCTGCAGCCACGGAGGATGCAGACTCCCGTTCAGTACATACAGTAGCAAGTGCCCCGCGGCCACGCGGGCTTGAATTCTCAGAGCCCTGCTCTGTCGCCATCTCACACGCGCACGTGTCCGCTGCATTCTCAGTGTTATTAAGGGATGCATGGGCGGGTTAGTCCGTACGTACATTTTATTTTTTTAACGCGATTAATGATTTTATTTTATTATTTTTTTAATTATAATGTAATGTCCAGTGCACTACATCTGTAAATCTGTAACACCAGACCCACAAAACAAGACAGAACAATTTTTATTTTTTTTAGCTCACACATTTACAATGTTTGGTACATTTCATTTTTTAGTAGTTCAATATGTGATCATTTTGAGTTGGAAACATGAACCTGGTCTGTTGAGGGCTGTTTTCCCCACACCGCCACTGAAAAAAAATTGTGGCTCAAGTTATTGCCCTATGGAGCCATCAATACAAATGGAAGTTATGTCAGCAGACAATCAATCACTGTAGGCTTATTAACCATATCACTGTGTGACTGGTGAGAAGCAGGGCCGGAGTGGGACAACATTTCAGGCCGGGAGCTTTTCATCCATTCAGGCCAAACAAGGTTCTAAATTTGGGTTTTTGTCATTGTATTTTGATGTTCTTTTAATAGTTTTAAGATTGACTGTCAAAACTTTTGTTTTCTTTATTTCTTTTTATATTGACTGTTTATATAATCTCGGACGTTTAAAGATTGTTGTACGTTGCTTAGCAACGTAACGTTTATGGAGTTTAGTGAGAATAAAGACACACACACACACACACAATGAACTAAGTGTTCATTAGTGTATAACTATAACAAGCTAATCAATTATTGTTAAAAAAGTAGTAAGGTAAAATCACATCGTTACAGCTCATATAAAAGGAAAAATAACAACGTGTATGAACCATCAGTTGGAGAGACCACTCATTTCAACCGGGGAAGCTACACTGGGTGCACTGCTAGGCTGGCCTGGCTGTGTAGCCGACGTGTGACGTCACATTTGTTTAATTTTGCTCTGGCCCAATGACAGTAAAGCTTTGGCCAGTGTTGTGCCAGTTCACAGCTTTTCTGAACTAGTTCAAGTTCAGTTCATACATGCTCAAAGTGAACAGTTCACGTTCGAAGTTCTCAATTTTAATTCTGAACTAGTTCAAAGTTCAGTTCATTTTACTTTTTGCGAGATATTCAAATAAATATTTTTTTTCACTACGAGCTAGAAATCACAATACGTGGTATATATATATATATATATATATATATATATATATATATATATATATATGTATATATATATTATATCCTGTACACTGCACAGGATGTTTTGACTCCAATGCAGACAAGATTTACATGGGTTTCAATGGGAACTGAGTTGTCCCATCTCTGCTCATAAGTACAAACTGTAATGCGCTGCAGAACGTGTGTCTATACTTTATGTCAAATGTAAACGGCCCTGTGTCACTGACTTACCCCTGTGTTTTCATCACGGCACATGTGAGTCCAACAACCAATGAATAGCACTAGCATATAGCGCCGCACCGCAAGTAGTACACTGAGTCGGGGTGCGTTCACAGACGGTGGAAACCGTAGGAATTTTTAGTTTTCGGCGGAAACAGTGCGGAGAATACAGGAGGGAGGAACTTTCTCTCGTTGCGTTTCAAAAGAGAAAACAGATTTCACTCAGTTTTAAATGGAAAACAAATTATCTGCCGTTCATGACACATAATATGAACTAATTCACGTTCAAGTTATTTATAAAAAAATGTGTTCAACGTTTCACGAAAAAATGAGCGTGTTCAATGAACGCGTTCTTTTGAACTCGTTCACGCACAACACTGCCTTTGGCCTGGGCCTTGCTCATTGGACCAGGCCACCAGGCAGGGTAGGAGTTTGCAAAGACCGTGAGGATGAAATTAAATTAAAAGAAAGAAGAAAAAAAAAAAAAGAAAAAAAGACCGTGATGATAGGGCAGGCCCAGGCCACTTTGACACGCAGGCCACCGGGAGATCTCCCGATGCTCCCGATGGCCAGTCCGGGCCTGGTGAGAAGGCTACAGCAGTGGAGGCCTATGTGGGGAATGACACCCAAGACAGCAGCTCCACTTGAGGACAATGTCGCCCTCTTGTGGTCGCGCCCGGGACGTGAGCCTGCTTGGTGCTGCCCCTGGCGCTGGCACAGAGCTGTACACCTCCCACTCTCGCTTCTCATCATATTTCTGTGTCTTTGACAACAAGAGGAAACAAGTGAATGCGCTTTACATTTGGTGACCTGTCCGTGCGAGCGGCCTGGGTGGCGTGGATGTGGTGCGTCATTAGGACAGCTCAGTGTGTTTATAGTGTGTATGGTGTACACGGTGATGTGGGTGCGCTCAACGCGTATAGGCCTATATATATGGTACGGTGTTATACTGTTGATGTTGTAACTGTAAGTGGCAGTGGTGTAAGCGCACTCGTCTCGATGGTGTGTATAGGGTTAATTTAGTTTGAAATCCATACCTATAAATATGTATTTTGCGCGTGTGTGTGTGTCTGTGTGTGTGTGCGTGCGTGCATGTGCGTGTGTGTGTGTGTCACTTGGTTGGACAAAAGTAACACTAATTTGTCATTGTGTGTCATCTGATTAAAAAAACAAACGACTACCGTATAAATATGTCAGTTTTTTAAACTCCTTTAGCTTGTTTACACATTTGTGTTCAGAATTAAGTGATATTGAGCATGTTCCATGTAACATTATAACTCTATAACAACAGGCATATGACCTGCTCACACGTGTAGCAACAACCGGGCACAGTGAACATCCAGGGAAAGGACATTGAGAGAGTGGACTCTTACAAGTTCCTGGGTGTTCATCTGAACCACAAACTGGACTGGACTCATAACACAGACGCCCTCTTCAAGAAGGGCCAGAGCCGACTCTACCTGCTGAGGAGGCTCAGGTCTTTTGGAGGGCAGGGGCCACTCCTGATTTTGTTGCGGATTGTCTTTATGGTGTGTGTGGTGTTAATGGTCTTTATGGTGTGTATGATTTGTGTGATGTGTCTCTCCCCATGAGCGCATCCTCACATCCGCGGCAGAGCAGAGCGCGCCCCCTGCTCCGCCGCAGCGGCAGCACGCACGTGCACGCGCACGCACGCACGCGCATTCCTTTGAGGAGGGCGAGAGCGCACACTCCGCGTCTCCTTCACGGCGCGATGGCGTGAGCCTGGATTGCACTAAAACACAGGAGCTGTGCTTTAAGGACCGCGCTGTCATGGAGCTGCCGCCTCTGCCGCGTGTGCCGCTTCTGCAGCGCGTGCTGTTGCTGTCTCTGCTGTGGACACACGCGCTCTGCGGATCTCCGAGCGTACAGATCGGTGAGTGTGCACGTCTCCGGTACCGTGCGCCATTCCTCAGCTAAGGCCTGAGCAGCACGAAACCGCGGCTTCATGTCCATCCTCTTCTCCTGTTTGAGGGCTAATGAAGATGCGCGTGCACGCGGCTCCTCGCGCGTACATGCGCATCTGCCATTGCATTCAACAAGAACAGTGACAGTCAGACGTTTTCCCTCGGGCCGCTGTGGTGGATTCAGATACAGGCCTACACGCAGATCTGTCACGCAGGAGTCGTGCTCACAAAGCGGGGGCTGTGTTTTCCATGCGGGGGGAGCGCTCCGGAGAGGCCCCAGTCTCTGTGCGCGCGGGGGTAGCATCTCTATCTTTAGGTTGTCAAAACATTGTTATCTGCATTTGTCCTTTGAGCTTCAAGTGCCTTGCCCAGTGGCATCATGTCAGGAGGCTGTAGAAGCGCATAGGTCAGGGAGAGCAGCCTGAGCCTCAGCCTGAGCCGAGCCGGAGCAGCTCATTGAAATCACTGCGTGTGTGTATGTAGATGTGTGTATTATGTAGGCTACATGTTTGACTCATTCAAGTGGAAGAGAGTGGTGCATGATAAGAGCACAGCCGCTGCAGAGGAAGAGGAGCGGAGTCCAGAGCTCCTCTCCTTCTCCTCTCCTGCTCTCCTCCTCCACTCTCATTCTACTCTGCTCCTCTCCTCCTCCTCTCCTCCTCCTCTCCTATCCCCCTCCTCACACTTGCTCTACTTTTCTCCTCCTCCTCTGCTCCTCGTTTCCACTCCTCATCTCCTCCTCCTGTCTTCTCTTGAACAAACCACATCCGCCTACAGCCTCAACAGTAAATCACCACCTTGAAAGCATTCATATATCCTTCACAATCAAGTTGGAATGAAAAATTATGTGCAGAGCGTCACCTTTGATTTGAGGTAGGACATGAGCAATCCCGAATCGAGTGAACTTGTATGAGTAACACTTTTTATGACGTGCAGGACTTAAAAGTATTCAAACCGTTTTGTAAGAGTTACTGCTCTGACGGCCTCGATTGAAATGGTGCTCTGTTCCTGCTTGTTCTTTTTCCCATGAGTTCTGTCTTTTACATTCAGGTCAGGGGATTGTTTTGGAGGTATCTTGGTCTCTTGAAAGCACGCAAAAAAAAGTATTATTCATAGTCCCACTTGCTAGATTACAGATTATTTTAAGATGTGTGGAAAGATCAGATATTGTATAACTTTGTATATTAATTTGAGAGATTTAGAGAGATCCTTTATGCGTCCCAAAGTGGGGAGATTTCATTGTTGTTGACAGATTCCTGATCCACAAACAATGAGCCATCTTCTTTTTGGAAATCAGCTACTTCCACTATATTAATTTTACAGGCAAAAGTCCATTTCACATGAATTGTTTGCCGCAGGGGTCTCCAACCTTTTCCAATCAGAGAGCTACTTTTACACAACAAAACAGAGAGCTACTCCTCTTTGCAGTTATAATGACAAAACATGGAAAACACATGTAAAATATACCATAATCCTAGATGCATACTTGTATAATAAATATGTAATGGCTCTAAAGTGAATCAGTCAAGGTTTCAAATTCTAAACACTTTGGAGAGCTACCTGAAAGGTGCTGGCGAGCTACTGGTAGTTCCCGAGCTACAGGTTGGAGACCCCTGAGTTACAGCCACGACACCAGATCAAAGGGTGTATTACAACAGAAAAATCTAGCATGGAAATCAAAAATAACATAGGCATTTGTGTTTCATAATATATTGGCCCAGAATCACGTCTCAAAGTATCAGTAGAACACTTTTTTTCTCACATCTCGCGTCTCTCTTGAATCAGTATTTTCTGAATGAGTCTGATAGTCAAAGCTAGTCTACACAATATACTGAGTTCTCAAAGTTCAAAGAAAAAAAAAAATCATGATTCTGTGATGTTTTTTTCTGTATTTAGAAAAGTACAAACATATTGTATATATATGTTTTGAACTCTTTGAGAACTCAGGATATTGTGAGGACTAACTTTGACTATCAGCCTACTTCAGAAAATACTGATTCAAGAGATAAGTGAGATGTGAGAAATATGTAAAAGTGTTTTATTGAGACATGCTCCTCCACGGGTGTCTTACGAGTATCATTAATGAAAACTTGTGCTGTTGTGTGGAGTCATGTGGAGGAGTATCAACTTACATTTATGTACAAAATATACAATTGGGAATTAACATTGAGAGGGAGGGAAGAAGCAGTTATCACTGTACACAAACTATACTAACAATTGTTTGACCGAACGGTAAAAAAGTGGGATACATTCATTTCCTTGTTTAGACCTAGCCTGACAACCGTCCATAAACTGTGGTCAATTATTATTCCCCACATGTACGTCTGGGTCTGATCCTAGTGGCTGCGGTTTCCTCGGTTGTATCCCATCCGACCACTCAGCAGGCGGGGAGGTGGGTGTTGTATGTAAGTGTCGGTGACGTCAAGAGTTTGCGCCGAATTTGCTGGTTTTAAGTTTGGCAATGGAGGCGAATGCGATAGTAAAGTAATCCGTTCTGGTTCAGCTCCAAATATGAAGAAATTGAAGCCGGAGCAAGAGGAATGTTTAGCAAGTTTCATCGCTGGCAAAGATGTTGTGGCTCTACTCCCCATGGGCTCCGTTAGTCGCAAAGGAGATGGCTAAAGCTAGGCTAAATGCTAAAAAAATGCCTCACTCACAGCAAACTCCGATCCAATGGTTTCAATCTGCAAAAGGAGTGAACCCCTCGCACCTGTTAACGGAACTCAATGCAACACATTCAGAAATCCAGTATGAAATGAAATGAGTGCGACGGTGTGGTACGACCGGGCTAGTTTAGACGAGGATGACATTTTGAATTACTTAGAGAGAAGGACTCCCAGTGCGTTATTTTCACGCTGTCCTCTCCTCTGGGCTCTTAAGTTACAGCTTTTGAGTGTGTAGCAAATGAATTAAGCTTGACAGGGTTGATCTTTAACCATTTTTGCCATGTTTACAACCACAACAACTTACAAAATGTCCTTCTGACTGCTGAATCTTCACAGCTTGCCTTAACCATTAAAAGAGACCGCCCGTGTGTAATCTACTCTCAGTATATTTACAGCTACAGGGCCAGAGTTATGGTCGGTCTGTCGTGGTCACTAAACAACATCATGAATGCCAAGGAGCACAGCAGAGAGGTCAGGGATAATGTTGTGCAGAAGTTCAAAGCATTAAATTATACAAACATTTCCCAAGATTGTAATCTATTTCGAAATGGAAGGAGCACCAAACTGCAAAGACATGTCCTTCCACTTAAACGTACAAGCTGCTGCAGACATCCACCTCTCAGCTGGGGGAGTCTGTACAAGGGGCTAAATGTTAGTCATGCACTACACAAGTCTGACCTTTATGGACCAGTGGTAAATAGAAAGCCAGTGTTGGAAGGAAGCCATAAGAAATCATGTTTGAATTTTGCCAAAATGTATTTATTTTTCCACCAAATGTACTGTATGTGCACATCTCCGGCTCTTCCTCTGCAGATTTTGGAAAAAAATGGGACGTGAACTTAGAGAAACATTAATTTGAAACTTGTAAACATAAAGATAATATGTTGTTTTTGCTGTTCCATCCGCCCATGTTTATATGAGAAGAGATTCTGTATCTGTCTGCGAAATCTATCTTTTACTTTTGTCTAAAGTAAAAGTGGAAGTATAAAGTAGAGATGCACTCGTAGAGCGCAGTCCTTCGCCAAGAGGTAAAGTTCCATTCTTGATCCACAAGGGAAATTGCGTTGTCACAATAGCTTGCATTGTATTTCACACTGAAAAATAAGATATAACATTAAAGTAACAATCTAAAAATAAGAATAATAATAAGATATTTGTGTGAAGAAAATACTCTGGATTAGTATTAGTATATCTGAGTTATAGGTTCACAATTGTGACAAGATGTTGCTGAAAAAAAAATTGAATACAATACATTGTGATTGATCAACCAGGTCTGAACTAGGACTAAACCAGGACTTAACCAAGTCTGACCCAGGTCTAAATTAGGTCTAAAGCAGGTCCAAACCAGTACTAAAGCAGGTCTAAAACAGGTCCAAACCAGTACTAAAGCAGGACTAAAGCAGGTCCAAACCAGTACTAAAGCAGGTCTAAAACAGGTCCAAACCAGTACTAAAGCAGGACTAAAGCAGGTCCAAACCAGTACTAAAGCAGGTCTAAAGCAGGTCCAAACCAGTACTAAAGCAGGACTAAAGCAGGTCCAAACCAGTACTAAAGCAGGTCTAAAACAGGTCCAAACCAGTACTAAAGCAGGACTAAAGCAGGTCCAAACCAGTACTAAAGCAGGACTAAAGCAGGTGTAAACCACTTCTAAACCAGGACTAAAGCAGGTCCAAACCAGTACTAAAGCAGGTCTAAAGCAGGTCCAAACCAGTACTAAAGCAGGTCTAACACAGGTGTAAACCACTCCTAAACCAGGACTAAAGCAGGTCCAAACCAGTACTAAAGCAGTCATGAGCAGGGCCAGCAGAGAGAGCGTGAAAACAGTGAATATAAACAGAAACCCGTTGTCATAAGCCGAACAGAACAGTCACAACACAAGCTCCCCTCTACACACACACTGCTGTGGTGGCATTAGGGTTACTCAAGAACAAAAATAACACAATTCTGCAGTTGTGTCTCTCTGGTTTTGTGGAGCAGGTAATTAGTGGCGTAGCTGAAGAAAATTGCCTCCGAACTCGTAAAAAAGTCACCTCTCAACTCTTCAGATGGTCAGTTACTGTTCTTTGGGAACTCCCGACTATGTGGGAGATTTCATTTCTCGGTGATGTTTATTTAGCTCCTTTGGAAAGTAAACTCCTCCTACTCTGTAAACGCTTAATGATATTATATTGTTTTACCCCTCCAACTGACCAATCAGTTGCCTTATGTCCCCGAATTTGGCTGCACAAAATTGGCTCCAAATATGTCTTCTTAGCTCTAATCATCATGGAGCCTGTTTGAGGTAGCTTTATTTGGCACCTTCTACATTGGCTCTTAGTTAGATCTGTCCAACTACATGGTTTTTTGGTACTTTTGAAAGACAAGTTTAGATGCATTACTGTCATGGTGTGGATTTTGATTTTGTATTTTGCTTTTAGTTTGAAATAAGTTCTGTGGTTTTGTTTCAGTTTGACTTCCAGTCCTGTTTTCCCCTGTCTTGATTCTGCCCCGCCCTGATGTGTTTCACCTGTGTCTGTGTCTATATGTACCCTTTGCTTCTCTCCCCTTGTTGCTGCTTCATTGTTTTGTCATGTTCTGTCCTGGTTACTTTGGATTTCTGGAGTTTGTTTTTTGCCTTGGACTTTGTTTTATTAAAAGCTTTATTTTGGCACTCCTGCATTTGAGTCCTCACTCAGTTCACCCCGTGACAATTACCTTGTTAACATGTTTCGGCTGCAGAGCTGCGAGCCATCATCAGAACTGTCGTCCGCCTCGGTGACGTGTTATTTATCAGCTGATGTTACTTCCTGAGTTGGCGTGGTCTCTGGAGGAGGGTGTGGGACAGGAGGAAAGCAGCCGAAACATGTAATACATCTAATCTTGTCTTTCAAAAGAAGCAAAAAAAGCAAAATGAACCTTTTTTGAATCTGTCCTTCTACAGTCTATGCTTTCTAGAGACTTTAGAGCCCAGGGGGTGTGACCTGGGAGCAGTCAGAGGCAGAGGAGAGTGTATATGTGCGTGGATGTTCCAGAAAGGACGACTGTATCTAGAAGTCCTCAATGTGCATCAACGTCAGCTTTCACGGCGATTCTCCCAGAACATTTTGAGCGATGGGCGAATGAACGGACAAACAGATAAACAGATTGCATAACCTCTGCTTCTTATACGGCCGGTGGAAACTACACAACTGCTATTGCATCTATTGTATCGTGGGACTTTTTTGCACCAGCACATGGATGTTGAGGACCACAGCTTGAGAATGACTGGATGTGTGGTTCTGTAGGAGACATCTGAGAACAAGAGTCAGAGAAAAGACTGGAATTGAACACACACACCCACACACATGCACACACATGCACACACACACACACGCACACGCACACGCGCACAGGCACACACATGCACAGCTGACCTAGTTTCTCTTCCGAGCGCTCCTCCACAGCTCTACAGATCACAGTGCATCAGTTATAAGCTACAGAGCGAAGACAACATGTAAATGACTTTACATTGTTTGAATGTTTTGCTAGTGCAACACAGACTTTTAACCTAATGAGTAAAAAAAAAAAAAAAAAAAAAAAAATCTTTAATTGGGCAGCAAGGTGGCTGAGTGGTCAGTATTCATGATTTTGATTATCTACAATAAGATCTTGGGATTGATTTCCCCTCCAGCCCTTCCATCTTATGAAGGAGTCTGATTGGTCAGTCCTTATGGCTAATATATATGGATTTACAATATCAAAATATCAACACCAGGAGTACAGAGAGCACATGTGAAAGTACATTTCAATGAGCCAAACTTTGTCCATCAGCACTTGCCTATTGGGATTCATTGAGCTAGCATAGTTTATGAAGAGCAGAGAGATGGTCAATATTTAAATACATTTATCATTCTACTCTCCAAATCTTTTCTGAAAAGATTTGAAAAAAAGGAATTTTCTTCATAAGAAATTCAAACAAAGAAGACAGTCACTGGCAAAAAGAGAGACATATACAGAGAATTATTACTACATTGAAAATAAATGTCATGGTGCAATTATTTTGGAAGAGCAACATGTACAGTTCCCTTGCTCCACATGTGGGAACTGTACTTTAATAAAAGGAAATTATAAATAAACAAGCAAACTTTAATTAAAAGTTTAAGTCCAGACGTCTGGACTCGAATTGTTGGGTCTGATTTTACTAATCCACATTTTCTCGGCTGTGGTTGTGTATTTGCAGGGGGGCTGTTCCCGCGAGGAGCCGACCAGGAATACAGTGCATTCCGCGTGGGCATGGTTCAGTTCGGCATGGCAGACTTTCGCCTCACGCCTCACATCGACAACCTGGAGGTCACCAACAGCTTTGCTGTCACCAACTGCTGTGAGTATATGCTTCTAAGCAGGGGTGCTCAATACGTCGATCGCGATCTACCGGTCGATCGCAAAGGTAGTATTGGTAGATCGCATTAAATAAATGAAAAAATTACACATTCTAAACGAATATATACAAAAAACTCCGGGCAAAGTGGAGATTTTTGAAAACTCCGTTAATGCATTTGTGTGTAGACAGAGATAACCGGAGTTTTGCGTTCTCGCACGCCACAGTACCCCCCTAAATTCTTCTGATCACTGAAGCATGGATCATACTACCTTAAAAACTGTTCGCTGTGAGATGCTCGCAGCAGCGAACATCCTCCACATCAGAGAGCAGCAAAGTGATCGCGGGGACTCACGCTCGAAAACAACCAAACCAGGACTAAACCAGGGCTAAATCAGGGCTGAGGACGGGGTCAGTGCTTGTAAACATACGTCTTTACTCTGAGTGTCTTCTATGACTGTAAAAGTGCCGTTACCGGCGTCTGCATCAAAGCTCCGCCCACTTCTGTGTTTTTCCCCAACGCAGGACAGGACGTAAGAGACGCACATGTTTGGAATGTTACAAATGTGATTGATAACGCAGATGTGTGGATGCAAATTATTTTTATAAACGGAGGAGGGGAAATATTTGGATTTAAAAAAAAACAGGCATGGCACATGGACATGGCACCACAGTCAAATGACATCTGTGTTTTACTCAGTAATGTTTTACTGACACTTAGGTGACTGCACATGCGCAAACAACCGCGCTCAGTGCAGGAAAGCTAAACCACGACAAACTTGTCAGCGAGTTACCACCAATTTTCCGGACTATGCATCCCTGGCCGATTCAATTCAGTGCAAGTCATAAGAGTAAACTCGGGTAATGACAAAAAATGTACATCGGTAATTGTGTTGTGTTGTGCTATATTGGCTCATGCGGTTTTAAATGTACATAAACATACATTGTAGGTATAAAGAATATTTTTTGAAATAAATATATGATTTGCATTTTTGTAGTAGGTAGATCATTTTGACTTGATCCTTTTATAAGTAGCTCGCATGCTGAAAAAGTGTGAGCACCCCTGTTGTGTCATGTGTGCTTCTCCGGACCCACCTGCTGTGAGTGCCCCTTTCTGTGATGTAATGAACAGTGACTTTCTCTTCATCTGTGGACCACTGTCTAGTTCAGTTAAGATCCAAGATGGCGTCCTATTCAAATCAATGGCTTGTGCTCAGTGGCGCATGTGCCGGTGTTCTGTCGAGTTGGTCTGCCTCAGCTGTTAATGATGTAATGCAAACCTGCGCATGTTGTGTGATCGCAGTCCCTGAGTTGACTGCTGCATACGTCATTTTACTGACGTAGGCCCATGACGCGTCCTGTGACTGGTGTGTCGGGTTGATAATGGAAATAATAAATAAAATTTAATGCATGTGTCATACTGTATTCAATATGATTAACAATAGTGTGTTCAAACGAAATATTTAATTAGATCAAGTTTTTTCCCCATTCTGGCGGGTTTCTGCGCATGCGCAAATCAGATTTGGGCACACGAGCAGTGTAGTTTCACAGGATCAGTGGACTGCTTAAAACAAACTTTACACAAAACTCTTACTCTTAAAACGCACATATCACAACGTGGAACCATCTCGCCTCAAATTGCATAAAAAGTGACATTTGTGTCTTAATTAGTTCGTATTTAACTTTTAAAGCAATTTGCGGACTACATGTCCGTCATCTTGGTTTGCTTCGGCTGCCGTGAGACGGCACAGGTTTGCATTACATCATTAACAGCTGAGGCCGATTATCTCGACAGAACACCGGCATGGGGACCGAACAACTACTTGTGTGTGTGGCTTTCGTGCACGTGCACAGAGGGGCTCGGCTGCGCTTTGACCAATAGAGCTGCTGATCAGAGCAGCAGCAGAGCGGGAAGGAAAGGAGCAGAGTTTGTGGCAGTGAAGTGTGGATTTAAAGAAAACAGAAGGATTTAAGAAGAAACAAAGTTCAGGATGACAAGGGACACTAAAATCCCCACAAAATCTGATATTTCTGAAAGCTGTAGGTTCTCTGTCAGCTGAGGTCGAGCTGTTTTTATTTACGTTGAGTTCTATGGGACTTTTTTCTGGGTAGCCCTCGTGAATTTAGTCTGCAGTACCACGGGCGCCCCCTGTGCCCATGGGTGGGACAGCTGTAAGCTAGTGATACCCTGTCCAGTTATTATTATAGATCCATGTCTATAAGGTATATGAAAATTTTAGGAAAGAACTGTCCTATTACTGGCCTTATTTGACGAGACAATTGGGGGGACCAATAGTCTTGATGATCCACCCGGAAGTAGGAAAACCTCCTATATACTTTATGATAGTTGGATTTTTCAAAACTCCCCTGGGGATTTTCCAGAACCTAAGTGGACTGCTACTCTTGCAGAAGACGTCGATTAAAGCTAACGCAAACAGATTCCATGAGGATTAGTGCTAATTTACTCAAGGTCCATGACAAATAGAGCTAACTTTGCAATCAGGGACACACAATCGCATTCACCAACAGGATAGCAACAGCATTCACACCTGCCAACGTGGGTCAGTCATTCTGAACGCTCAACCAATGGCGTTTTATTCGAAATGCCAACCTTTAGGTCAGAAAGGCACACGCTTTACCAACTGAGCTTCTGCCGCCTGGTGTCATCACTACATTTATGTGTGGAGATCTCCACAGAATCTAATTTTGTTTCTCCTATTGTATCTTTCTATGTCTGGAGAGAGCCTCTAAAGATTGCTTTACTAAGCAGACCAGGGCTTGGTTTGTGCTGTGATGGGAGACTGATGTCTCCAAGGCTCTTGAGTAAACGGTTGCTGTGTCTTTAGGCAAACCACTTCACCCGCAATGCGTTATGCCAGTGGAATGGTGAATTATGCAATACAAAGTGTCATTGAGTGTGCAATATACACAGTCATATTCATTTACAAACTGACTTTTTGGGATAGAGAATGACTTGACCTGATCATTTTCACTTCTTTTATATATAATAATAATAATTGGTTTTGTTTAGATTTTTTTAGAAAAATAGAGGGTAGAAATGGATGGATGGATGGATAGATTTTTTTAAACACTCAAAGACAATTCACATGTCAGTTTTCTTTCACTCCATACACATTGGTGATAAACTATTACTGTAGCCACAGCTGCCCTGGGACACACTAACAGCAGCAAGGCAACCAGTATGTGCCATCGGCCTCTCCCACTAACAACCATTCAAGCACACTCCAGAGTACGGTTGGGGACTACAGATGGAAATTAACATGAAGCTAAATCTGCTTTGTGTAACTAACGCTGTACCTTAAATTCCCTTCAAACTTTAATCTCATTCTAGACATTGTGGGTGTGTCTTGCCAAAGGACACAATGACAGTTTGGCCCTGTGCAGCCGCAGTTGCCCCACTGTGGCATATGTATATCTTTATATTTATACATGTTTAATTAGGCCCGAGCCCCGAACGGGGAAAGGGCCTATTGTTTTTGCTCGAGAGATGTCAAATTCTGCACTTTGAGCCTTAATTTCACCCCCTGAACATGCATAAAAAGTTGTAAAATTTTGCCCAAACATCAGACCTGGTGAAAAATGTGATATTTGGGTGTTTATTTTTATGGGACTCAAAAAATGCCAGAACAGCGCCACCTACAACAGCCAATGGGAGTTTCAGAGGTCAAGTTTGTCGTAGAGCCATGAAATTCGGTACACATGTTCCTCAAGTCAAGATACGACCGAAATGTTATCATGGCTCCGCCCTCTGACAAACAGGAGGCCCAAAAATTTCACTGCAAAATAGAAAAATGATCCGCAATAAATTTCATACATGTCGGTTGGAAAGCGACTCCTCCTCGGCCGTTTCACCGATTGGCCTCCATATCACTCCACATTGTCTAAACACATGTACCATCAAAATGACCTCAGGGATTTTTGATCAGTGAAACAATGTACGAGCAGCGGAGCGGTACAAAAGCGGTGACCTTTTTTTTGCCATTTTTTATGATCAAAAAACAGCTTCCATTTGCAAAAACAAAGTCTGATTTGCACAAAACTTTAACACACTGTTCAACTCTAGGATCTAGGTAATGTAAAAGTCAAATATTTGAAATTGGCCCATTAGTGCCCCCTACAGACTGAGGCAAAGTTTTACATTGGAAGCCAAACCAACTCAACTCATCATATTCATTACAATTTCACAAACTTTCTTTAATGGCTACGGGACCAAATAATGGCGCGGTAGCGCCACATCCAATAAGCGGTGAGGCGTGGTGCGGCGCAGCGTGGCGCAATGCGGCTTGGCGCGATGCGGCTTGGTGCAAGGCGGCGTGGTGTGAGGCCCTGTTGTGTGCGGCGACGTGGTGAGAGGCGGCATGGTGCGACGCGGAGGTGTGCGGGGGGGCGTGGTGCGGCACGATGTGGTGTGGTGCGGTGCGGGGAGTCGCGTGGTGCGGCGAGGGCCGTTTGACGCCGCTTGCGGCTTTAATTTTTATTGTAACTTACATTTTAGCATTGATGATTTCTCATAAGAAAGCTTTAACATGTAGATTGTAAATATTTAGATCTGAGAAAGCGCTCTTCGGTTTTACATTTTTCACCCTGTTTTTTGTCTCAGAATTTGCTCATATTTTGGATCATGTCAAATCCTGTGTAACCGAGCGCAAAGCGGCAGTACAATTCATATCCAGCCGATCAATATTTTATCCCAGCATGTTTTATTCACACATAGGGACACACAGACGCTTATGAAATATTTCAGAGGATTTCTGAAGCGACATGTCACAGTTCACCGTGCACTTTTCCCACACTGGAGGACCGTGTTTGTATGTATGCATGTTATAATGCTCATCTCTGCAGCAGCGGAGATGTATGCTCCCAAATGTGGGCCGACGGTTAGGGAGTGATTCCAATCCAAGCATTTTAGCCTGAGACTATATTTAAAACTCCAGTGACTGTGGTGCGGCTGTCACAGGAGGCAGGGGGAGGTTGGGTGTGAGAAATGACTCAAACATTCATGAAGTCTAAAAAACAGTGTAATGAGTGTAAACGATCAGGGAAAAATACATGTTCAAAATCAATTTTGCATAGTTATTACAAAAAACACGTCACTTACATGTTAATGCTCATGTCTTTTGAATGACGTGAATTTATTTACCTTTTGGAATATAAATAAATGGTGCAGTCCTTTTTGTGAAGCCAAGTTGCCATGGAAACAAGACATGAACAGGAAAATCTGACCTATATATTTGAGCTCATGATAATGCATCCGTTCTGTGCTTTCCAGAGGGTAAATAAGAGGAGGTATGTGTACGTGTGTGTGTGTAGGTGTGCGTGGGTGTGTGTGTGTGTAGGTGTGCGTGGGTGTGTGTGTGTGTAGGTGTGCTTGGGTGTGTGTGTGTAGGTGTGCGTGGGTGTGTGTGTGTGTAGGTGTGCGTGGGTGTGTGTGTGTAGGTGTGCGTGGGTGTGTGTGTGTGTAGGTGTGCGTGGGTGTGTGTGTGTGTTGGTGTGCGTGGGTGTGTGTGTGTGTGTGTAGGTGTGCGTGGGTGTGTGTGTGTAGGTGTGCGTGGGTGTGTATGTGGATGTATATACTTATGTCTTTATGTGCGTTTAATGAACAATGTTGCTAAATATATGTTTTTAAACGGGTTATTTGTTTCATCAAATTTCAGTGCTTATTAAAAGAGAGCTTTTCTGTATCTTCCATAAAACCATGGGCAAATGTGCGCTCTACCTGCACACCTGGCTCTGAGTGAGTTCTGCCAACCTTGCCTTGGCGTGCACACGTCCGCATACATGCACTCAGAATTGGCTGTCATTAGGTGTAGTGGTTCTCTTAGCTCTCTCCATCCATCCATCTTCTTCTCCTTAATCAATTTCTTGGTCGGGGGGTGGTGGGGAGGGCGGTTAGAGCTACCATCCAATTTCACAGAGCACCAGCCCCTCACACTGATCCTCCTGCTGAGTCCACAGGATGAGGGCTGCTCTATCAGTGATGTCACAGCCTTAGTTTATCAGTGGGGGCTTAAGGCAAAGTGGGGTTAAGTGTCTTGCCCAAGGACACAACCGCAGCAGACATTAGTGGGAGTCAATGGAGAAGGTCTCGTGATGGGCTCAAACCCACAACCTTCAGGCTCAAAGGCCAATGGTCGTGGGTTCTCTTAGCACCCCTTTTGCTGTTTTCAGCTTACATTGTTGGTGTCTTTTACCATTAACCTCTGAAAAAGGCACAGGATAGCTCTGATTTACATAGCTCTCACAGCAAGGAGGTTGCAGGTTTTATTCTGGCGTGGGTCTCTCTGCCCTGAGCTTTCATGTTGCTGCCCACCTCCAGTGAAGATAGTTCTGACTAAGACCAGAGCTCCAGACTCCTCTCTCTGAGGTGCTCCAAGGACAGGCTCAAAAACTCTTTTGTCCCCAACGCCATCAGGCTCTATAACAAAGCTACTTAAGGGAGGAGCAGGGGGAGGAGGAAGGGAGGGAGGGGTCTTGAGAATTGTCTTGCAGTGCCTAAACATCTCTTTTAATGATTTTAATGTATTTTATTGTCTTTTTTACCTGTTTTGTATCTTTTAACTCTATCCTATGTTTGTATGATTGCGAGCGAGGGGCCAATGCACAATTTCCTTTTTGGATCAATAAAGTACTGTATATATCTATCTATCAACATTTGTGGCAGCCATTTCAACGATAGTTATCTCGGAGGACTTGACAAAGTTGTTGATTCGCCAACACAGATCAGAGAATCAAACAGTGCAAACCCAGGAAATGTGTGAAAGTGTGTCTAGAAGTGACGCAATAATCTATTTTCGGTTATTGTACAATATGCATTGAAATGACTCAATTTTGAATTTTTGGATTTCACAATTATTTTACATGTTAACCAATTTTCTGGACCAGATACTGATAATTAGCATTCAAGGAGGCCCATAACCAAACAGGCGGAGCTGATATGACTTGTTCGACTTGAGTCCAAGGTTTCAGGTCCCTTCAGTGCATTCACAAAACAAACCCAGGGACAATGGATAAAATGTGAATAATGCAAAAGTCAAAGCTGACAAAGGAGCCAGAGGGTGTAGGAAGCTGTTTTGTGTCTGCGAAAGGCGCTTTATAAATAGGGATTTACTAACACTGTCTTCCTCTACAGTCTGTTCGCAGTTCTCCCGCGGCGTCTTTGCAATCTTCGGCTTCTACGATAAGAAGTCGGTGAACACCATCACGTCTTTCTGCGAGACGCTGCACGTGTCCTTCATCACGCCCTCCTTCCCCATCGAGGGCACCAACCAGTTCGTCCTGCAGATGAGACCCGACATCAAAGGCCCCCTGGTGTCGCTGGTGGAGTACTACAAGTGGGAGAAGTTTGCCTATCTCTACGACAGCGACAGAGGTGCGGAGCAAACGTGTTGATATCCTTGTGTTGTTCCGTTTGTGTGTGTGTGTGAGTGTTGTTGTGTGTGGAAACAACAGAAAAACTGGTCTAAGGTTTTATTGTGGTAAACAATATTCCTGCTCTCTCCTCAGCCGCAGCATTATTAGCCTCTCCATCTTCACCCTGTCCATCACTGTCTGTGTGTGCCATCGCAGAGGAGGTATCCATCACTCATACCCCTACTACTGTGTTTTATGTCGACATAGACTTGATCAAAACAAACTGTGTGTATAAACATAAGGAAAACATGGGATAAGACTGTGAAAAGTATTATTTTGCATGTTCACAGTTATTAAGAAGAGTGTTATTTCAACCCTTCATGTCACGATCTCTCCAGTGTTTTGTGACTTATCAAAAATCTAATCAGAAAAGCAAACCTGGTATATCTGGTACAATATGTTAGATTCATAATACAACATACAAAAGCAGATTTTGTAGTTAACCCTGACCCGAACCCTGAGCCATATGTTCTTTTTTTAACGTATGAAGTCATTTCTCAGCAGAACAAATAAAGACTATTTACAATGCAGGATGTCACAGATACTCCACCCTTTGCTTATTGACTCTAAATTACTCAAACTAAGTAACGTGATCACATATACTGTATAAAGCGTAAACAATTACCAGTAACCATTTAAGTCTTGATTTGTGAAAATATAGACTGTTATCATTTATAAACAATGCAGTTACGTGCAATTTTGTGTAGCCCTAAATAACAACAGCAGTCGTCTCAGGTTATTGTTCATTGTGTTTAAGAGAATGGAAAGCTTTGAAGTTGTGAGATTCATTAATTATTACCAATATACTTTCATCCACAGCCTTTTAGACATAAATTTTGCATGAATCCAGTGATCATTTTTAGAGTAGCTTTTTTTACGTATTGGATTGATGGCTTTTCCTTCCTCCACTGAAGTCTGTGTTGTGGCTGTGTTCAGGGCTGTCCACACTGCAGGTCATTCTGGACACTGCAGCCGAGAAGAAGTGGGTGGTGACGGCTATAAACGTGGGAGAGCTCAAAGACGAAAGGAAAGACGAAGCTTATCGCTCGCTCTTCCAGGTGCGTATACTTGTGGGCATTTTCAGTCCCCTTTCTTTTCATTAAGTCTGCTTGTGTAGCATAGCACATACTGCAGAGATTTTGTCTGCACACTAGCATACACTGTAATGTAAGTAAGTAAGTGAATCGACCAAACTTGGATGGAAAATATTTTAAGCAATTACTATATACTTCATTTTCCACTCTTTTATATTTTTGGTTGAGAAATAAGTACTGTATAATATTATCATAGCTCCCTGTCCAATACAGATTTTTATTGCTTTAAAGGCACACCGCGGACTTTGTGACCTAAAGAGTTGACACATATGAGTTATTTTATATGAATACTTGGGCCAATATACAGCGCTTGACACTTGCAATGCTCCGAGCGGGGCTGCCCTCTTGAAATACCGCCCATGTAACTTTCGAGCAGACGGACCGTCTGCCACCAGGTCACGTGACTTGGAAGAAACACTTGCTTTACGGCTACAGGCGCTGATATACTCATGGAGCTAAGGCTTTTGCTACTCATTTTTCACCTGCTCGACTCCTGGTCATGGCTGAGGCAAGGAAAAATTTTAAACCTTCGGAGGAGGCTAAAAAGAGGAAACGCGAAAGGGATCGTGCTGTAAGCTGCATGTCTGTATGAGCGCTGCTGTTCACCTGGTTCCTGGATGTCATCGACTGCAAAGATGTCATTCCACGCAGCACGAGCTAGACGCAGAACTCCCTCATCCAGGATATAGAAGTCCATGTGTGGTAGATTACTAATGCAGCGGTCTGGAGGCTGACCACAGCAGAGTCTCTCAATATCTGTAGGCATGTCTCTACAGTTTGAACACACACACCAGTGCATGCTGTCTGAATACACACTCAAAAGACACCGGCTGACTGTTTGTTGACTTTTGCGACAGTGCTGAGTTGCTTGTGGCCACTAGGGGCGCTAAACGTGAAAGTTGCAGGTCTAGCGCCCCTAGTGGCCAAGAGTTACACGGTGTGCCTTTAAGTGAAAATACTTTAAATATTTCTTCTATAAGCCTGGTGGTCCATTAATGACAAAACAAATATATTGTGTTGATTGAAAACAAAATGTGGCAAAGCAGTGACGCTACCCAGAAGGGAAAGATATAAACTTCTTAAAAATTCTCTATTGAAAGATGCATGCAAATTGTTGGCTCAATTTTTTAAAGTTTTGCTAATGCATTTTTTTTTTTTTTGAGTGTGTATAGTAATACAGATGTGTCCCGGGGCAGTGGAGACGCACATGGGACTGACCTGACTTTGTCTTTCAGGACCTGGAGATCAGAAAAGAGCGACGGATCATCCTGGACTGTGAACAAGACAAAGTCAAAGACATTCTGGAGCAGGTGACATTGTGCATGGTTGGACACCTGGAACAATCTCTTTTATTTTCTGCACTATGTATACACAGAAAAGGTTGTTTAGGTCTGAATAGCCTTTTATTACCCACAGGTGATCACCATCGGAAGACATGTCAAAGGATACCACTACATAATCGGCAACCTGGTGAGCCAATGAATGCACAATTGAAAAGACACAGTGGACCTCTCTTTGTGCAGCTTTTTAGAAAGAGCAGTTGTATTTTATTGCCTATTTCTCAGTTGGGTTTAGCTCAGGTGAGGAGGGGGGCCTCTATTCCCTTTGGGCTCATTTGGAAGCTTTACAGTGCAATACTTTGGTTCACAAGCTTACTTTCCGAATTAGAATCTTGGGTCTTCTGTATCCCAGTTTGAAGCATTTGCATGTCAAATTAAAATGATTCGACAAACTAAAGGAAGTGCTGAGAAGTATCTTTTCAATTATTTATGACAGCGCATGTCTTGGCCAACAATATACAATACTTATGTGAACAGGGGTTCTTGGATGGAGACCTGTCTAAGATCCAGTATGGAGGAGCCAACGTGTCGGGCTTCCAGATCGTGGACTTTGATGATCCAGTTGTGGCCAAGTTTGACCAGAGATGGGAAGCGCTGGAGGAGAAGGAGTACCCAGGAGCCGACGCACGCATCCGAGTGAGTACTGGCTCCTGATGAGAGACCCCTCCCACCTGTGATGCCTTCAAATGCCAAGACTTTTATTCCACAAGAAAAGTAATTGACAGTTTCCTCTCAACCATTTTTGCGGTTTCGAGGGTTTTTCATTATCCCTTTTGCTTGGCGTTTGTCAGACTGGTTGATGAGTGATGCCTTGATGCCTGCTGAGGCCTAGTCATATTGTTGTTTTTATTATGACATCTATAAAAAATCTCTTTCTTTAAGGAAAGGGGATGCTCTGGAACAACTTTCCATTTGGTTTATGGTTTTAAATTGATGTTTGATTGATTCGACTTTTGTCAAATCAACATTTTTGTGAAGTATATAGACAATTTATCATACTATTGATACTCTTAGAAAATACAACAAAAGCTTTTAATGAAACCCATATTGAGGTTGGCATGCTAATAAGTATAAATCTTTGGCCAGTTATTGAAACAGGGACATCCCCTTTCATGAGACCAGCAGGCGACAGACCCTTCTTTAGAAAACTGGAGAAAGTGTGAAAGTATGGTGTGGGTTTTGGAAAGTGTTTTCTCTGTGTGTGTTTCAGTACACGTCGGCCCTCACCTTCGACGCGGTGCATGTGATGACGGAGGCCTTCCGCTTCCTTTACAAACAGCGGATCGACATGAACCGTCGTGGGAACACGGGCGACTGCCTGGCCAACCCCGCGGTGCCCTGGGCCCAGGGCGTGGAGATCGAGCGCGCACTCAAACAGGTCCCACTCAGCTGCACCATTGTTATGGGGGACAGTTTTCATAAAAGACATTGGCAAAAAAAAAAATTAAGTTCAGTTTCATGTGTCTTCTCTAGCCCAGGGGTTCTGGCGCCCCATGGGGATCTTAATCCTCCTTGTAATGGCTTCTTGACAAAAACTCAACTTGAATTTTTTTCTGTTTTGCATTATTTAAAAAAAAAAAAAAGATTGTGACAAATAAAATATTTTATTTTATATTCATGTTAAATATGTACGCTTGTTGTATAAAATGTTTTCTAAAAGACACTCTTGACTATTTACCCTTGGCAGAGCGGGAGGGAGATGTTCAGATCCCTGGTTTACAGACCCCCGCTCTAGCCCAGGGGTACTCAAAGTAGAAATAATGTGAAGTATTCTATTGTACTATTTGATATAATCTTACTTAAAACATATATATTCTAGTTATATACAAATGTAGTCATGTCACAACCATAGATCTTTTATAATATCATGTCACAACCCACTCTTTTGCAACCGCCGTTCTCGTCTGCCAGGATAGGATGGCTGATGTGGTTAACTCGACCTAAATATTGCTCATGACATTTAACAATATTCCCATAAAGGGACCTAACCCGAGTACGTCGTTTGGCTGTGGCTTGTGTACCGTTGTCCATCTGCTGACCGTGAGCCGTGTGGAACCTCTGTGCACAGGTGCGGGTGGATGGACTCACAGGGAACATCCAGTTTGACCAGTACGGACGCAGGGTCAACTACTCAGTGACCATCATGGAGCTGAAGAACAATGGCCCAGTCAAGGTAGATGCAAATGACATAATGTTACGTCCTGAGACACAAAAGTGGTGTGAGTCTGCATGTATACTGAGACAGGAGTGGTCTGCATGTATACTGAGACAGGAGTGGTCTGCATGTATACTGAGACAGGAGTGGTCTGCATGTATACTGAGACAGGAGTGGTCTGCATGTATACTGAGACAGGAGAGGTCTGCATGTATACTGAGACAGGAGTGGTCTGCATGTATACTGAGACAGGAGAGGTCTGCATGTATACTGAGACAGGAGTGGTCTGCATGTATACTGAGACAGGAGTGGTCTGTATGTATACTGAGACAGGAGTGGTCTGCATGTATACTGAGACAGGAGAGGTCTCAGTATACATGTATATATTCTGTTAGATTTGGAACCAAAGCTGTTAATAAGGGCATGCGTATAAAAGTAGTAGTTTTGGAAAGTGTCTGACCTAAAAGCAGCTGGTGCAGTGACTCTGCTTTGTACTTCCCACTTTGCACAAAACCAACACGTTCTAAGGCTGATTTAGGACACAGTGTTTCTTACGGCACGGTGGCTGAGTGGATAGCACTCTCGCTTCTCAGCAAGAAGGTCCTGGGTTCGAATCCTGCTTGGAACAGGGCCTTTCTGAGTGGAGTTTGCATGTTCTCTCCGTGTCTGCGTAGGTTTCCTCTGGGTGCTCCGGTTTCCCCTACCACTAAAAAAAAACATGCACAATAGGTATGAATGTAAATGAGAGAGATGGTGGTGATTGGGGGCTGATGGTCCACTGTGTTCGGCGACTCTGAACGTTGTAAAGCGCTTTGGGTGACCTCGGTCTGTAAAATGTGCTACATAAATAAACATTACTTACTTACTCAGTAAAATATGTTTGATTTTTTTATGTTGTGTCCTGATTGAAACACTCAACTGGTCTCTATCATGACACCAGATCGGTTATTGGAACGAGCTGGACAAGATGGTGGTGACCAAGTCGGACCTGTACCCCAACGAGACCATGGGCATGGAGAACAAAACAGTGATCGTCACCACCATCCTGGTAAGAGCTGCACACGTCATCCAGACAGCAGACCTCAGAATATCACAGAACTGTTTCAAAAGAATTGACGAGTTGATAATGAAAATAATGTCTGAGGTAAAAACAATCTCAAAATTCAAACAAAAGCTCAGGAACCAGGAAAACGGACAGAACAAAGACGGAGACAATACAGTGGACCAGCAACAAGGGGAGAGGAGCATAGGTACAAAAAGACACTCAAGGCAGACAATCAAGACAGGGAACAAGACAGGAAGTCTAACCAAATTACAGAGAACAGAAGTGAAAATAAAACCAAATCTCAAAATCCACACCATGACACAGGGCACACTTTCACATGTCGGGTTAAAGGTATATAGGAGGATTTTCTACTTCCGGGTGGATCGTCAAGACTATTGGTCCTCCCAACTGTCAATCATTCTGCTGATACGGCGTCGTCCAATAAGACCAGAGAGTTTGGTTCAAAAAGTGGAGAAGGCGGTACTTTCCTAAAAATTGGGAAAATCCTCCTATATACCTTTAAAGTAGTACTAGAATTTGATATGCTGCTATCCAGAATATATTCTCCTAGGTCATTCTCCTACGTCATCGCCGCCATTTTGGCGCCCCCTAGCGTTTGTTATAAGGTGCCACTTCAAAGCCGTTTTTTAAACATAATTCATCTGAACATGTCAAAATGAACACCCGTAATATTATAAACACATATTGTAATTATATATTCTGGATAGCAGCATATTAAATTCTAGTACTACTTTAAGTATTGTTGCCTCAAGTGAACCTCTGATTTCACCTCCTGACGGGGCCTTTCTGTTGGTTTTAGGTTGGTTTTAGCTCCGTCCTAAGACCAGGAACTTCAGACACAAACACGTTCTCCTGCCCTATCTGTCTGAAGGCTCTCTTTTCAAACATGTTAAACTATAATGAATGCTAAGACTATGAACGCATGGCCAGAGCTGTTTCCTGCATTTCAAAACATAACTTTTGCCTTTTAAATAACCCTTTGCTTCTTAATTTCTCCAAGTAAATATGTTCTTTACCTGGAATGGAGGGTGCTAAAAACAACCCCTCGTCTGTTTTAATGTAACCTTGCCTGCAAGCTGAATTCTCGCGGTATTTGTGAGTTCACAAACACTCGAGAATACATCTTGTACCGCTCCCGCTTACACTTTTCGAACCACTGGGTGTGCGAGCCAATCACGCGCCAGTCTGGGGGTTTAGGGCGGGATATCCGGGTTTGACGAAAGCAAGAAGTGCCGGGCCGAAGCAAAACAAACATGGCTACGCAGGAGGACGGACGCGTAGCTGAGGCTATCAAGTCAGTTTTAGCAGAATCTCCAATTTCTTTTTTGAAAGATGAACAGCGAGAGGCGCTTTGTGCATTTCTGGACGGCAACCTTGGTAGGCGGGCACACAGCGTCACTTCGCCCAATCAGCTTGAAGTATTCTGCTGCTTATCCCTCCTTTCCCCGAAAGGATTCTCCGGGAGAAATCCCAGATTGATATCGTGGAGAACGCGTTAGAGTTCTACACAATCATCAATCTGGCTCTTGCCAGGTTAGTTTTAATGAGGAACAAAAAGACAATGTAACAGAAGTAGAAGATTCGTTCCAGATTTGTCATCAGAAAATATCACAAACACTATGTCTAATTCGTCTAATTCAGGCCAAAGCTGCAGTTTTCTCCTCCGTAGTGATTTAGCATAAAATATATGTTTTAAAAACTAAATATACATATAATCAGGTTGCAAAAAATGTCAAGTTAGTGCATGGTATGGCATTTTATTGAACGCAAATATAAAAAAATGTGAGTGAGGTCAACATTAGCTTGGACTTCCGTAAACTGAATAATTATTATTATTATTAAGACCAGGCTAGGTCAACATATACAGTGTTTATTTTCAATGAGCCCCAGGACATTAAAAATTGGGCCTCAAGATCAAAAAGTGGTTAAGAATCCCAGCACTTCCTTCACTGATGTTGAGTGACGTGTCTGCAGGAGGCTCCGTACGTCATGCTGAAGAAGAACGCAGAGCTCTTCCAGGACAACGAGCGCTATGAAGGTAACAGACCATAATACTCAAAGTGGAGACGGTGTCATTGAGACGGTTAAAGGGAAAGAGAGACATGTCCAACGATTCAGCACAGTTCATATTGTTTACTGAAGCTCATATCAGTGCACACAGTCATGATCGAAAGGCCGTATTTTGGAGGTTTTTGATGCAGTGCCTATAAAACCGTATGAAGCGTCCCCCCTCTCCCACAGACTGATGTAGCCTCCCCTCTCTCTCCCACAGACTGATGTATTCTCCCCTCTCTCCCACAGACTGATGTAGCCTCCCCTCTCTCTCCCACAGACTGATGTAGTCTCCCCTCTCTCCCACAGACTGATGTAGCCTCCCCTCTCTCCCACAGACGGATGTAGCCTCCCCTCTCTCCCACAGACTGATGTAGCCTCCCCTCTCTCCCACAGACTGATGTAGTCTCCCCTCTCTCTCCCACAGACTGATGTAGTCTCCCCTCTCTCTCCCACAGACAGATGTAGTCTCCCCTCTCTCCCACAGACTGATGTAGTCTCCCCTCTCTCCCACAGACTGATGTCGTCTCCCCTCTCTCCCACAGACTGATGTAGCCTCCCCTCTCTCCCACAGACTGATGTAGTCTCCCCTCTCTCTCCCACAGACTGATGTAGCCTCCCCTCTCTCCCACAGACTGATGTAGTCTCCCCTCTCTCTCCCACAGACTGATGTAGCCTCCCCTCTCTCTCCCACAGACTGATGTAGCCTCCCCTCTCTCCCACAGACTGATGTAGTCTCCCCTCTCTCCCACAGACTGATGTCGTCTCCCCTCTCTCCCACAGACTGATGTAGCCTCCCCTCTCTCCCACAGACTGATGTAGTCTCCCCTCTCTCTCCCACAGACTGATGTAGTCTCCCCTCTCTCCCACAGACTGATGTAGCCTCCCCCCTCTCTCCCACAGACTGATGTAGTCTCCCCTCTCTCCCACAGACTGATGTAGCCTCCCCTCTCTCTCCCACAGACTGATGTAGTCTCCCCTCTCTCCCACAGACTGATGTAGCCTCCCCTCTCTCTCCCACAGACTGATGTAGTCTCCCCTCTCTCTCCCACAGACTGATGTAGTCTCCCCTCTCTCCCACAGACTGATGTAGCCTCCCCTCTCTCTCCCACAGACTGATGTAGCCTCCCCTCTCTCTCCCACAGACTGATGTAGTCTCCCCTCTCTCCCACAGACTGATGTAGCCTCCCCTCTCTCTCCCACAGACTGATGTAGCCTCCCCTCTCTCCCACAGACTGATGTAGCCTCCCCTCTCTCCCACAGACTGATGTAGTCTCCCCTCTCTCTCCCACAGACTGATGTAGCCTCCCCTCTCTCCCACAGACTGATGTAGTCTCCCCTCTCTCCCACAGACTGATGTAGCCTCCCCCCTCTCTCCCACAGACTGATGTAGTCTCCCCTCTCTCCCACAGACTGATGTAGCCTCCCCTCTCTCTCCCACAGACTGATGTAGTCTCCCCTCTCTCCCACAGACTGATGTAGCCTCCCCTCTCTCTCCCAGGAACTGATGTAGTCTCCCCTCTCTCTCCCACAGACTGATGTAGTCTCCCCTCTCCTCCCACAGACTGATGTAGCCTCCCCTCTCTCTCCCACAGACTGATGTAGCCTCCCCTCTCTCTCCCACAGACTGATGTAGTCTCCCCTCTCTCCCACAGACTGATGTAGCCTCCCCTCTCTCTCCCACAGACTGATGTAGCCTCCCCTCTCTCCCACAGACTGATGTAGCCTCCCCCCTCTCTCCCACAGACGGATGTAGCCTCCCCTCTCTCCCACAGACTGATGTAGCCTCCCCTCTCTCCCACAGACTGATGTAGTCTCCCCTCTCTCCCACAGACTGATGTAGTCTCCCCTCTCTCCCACAGACTGATGTAGCCTCCCCCCTCTCTCCCACAGACGGATGTAGCCTCCCCTCTCTCTCCCACAGACTGATGTAGCCTCCCCTCTCTCTCCCACAGACTGATGTAGCCTCCCCTCTCTCCCAAAGACTGATGTAGCCTCCCCTCTCTCTTCCACAGACTGATGTAGCCTCCTCTCTCTCCCACAGACTGATATAGTCTCCCCTCTCTCCCACAGACTAATGTAGCCTCCCCTCTCTCCCACAGACTGATGTGGCCTCCCCTCTCTCCCACAGACTGATGTACTGTAGCTCCCCTCTCTCCCACAGACTGATGTAGCCTCCCTTCACTCCCACAGACTGATGTAGTCTCCCCTCTCTCCCACAGACTGATGTAGCCTCCCCTCTCTCTCCCACAGACTGATGTAGTCTCCCCTCTCTCCCACAGACTGATGTAGCCTCCCCTCTCTCCCACAGACTGATGTAGCCTCCCCTCTCTCCCACAGACTGATGTAGTCTCCCCTCTCTCCCACAGACTGATGTAGCCTCCCCCCTCTCTCCCACAGACTGATGTAGTCTCCCCTCTCTCTCCCACAGACTGATGTAGTCTCCCCTCTCTCCCACAGACTGATGTAGCCTCCCCTCTCTCTCCCACAGACTGATGTAGCCTCCCCTCTCTCTCCCACAGACTGATGTATTCTCCCCTCTCTCCCACAGACTGATGTAGCCTCCCCTCTCTCTCCCACAGACTGATGTAGTCTCCCCTCTCTCCCACAGACTGATGTAGTCTCCCCTCTCTCCCACAGACGGATGTAGTCTCCCCTCTCTCCCACAGACTGATGTAGTCTCCCCTCTCTCCCACAGACTGATGTAGTCTCCCCTCTCTCCCACAGACTGATGTAGTCTCCCCTCTCTCCCACAGACTGATGTAGTCTCCCCTCTCTCCCACAGACTGATGTAGCCTCCCCCCTCTCCCACAGACTGATGTAGTCTCTCCCCTCTCTCCCACAGACTGATGTAGTCTCCCCTCTCTCCCACAGACTGATGTAGTCTCCCCTCTCTCCGACAGACTGATGTAGCCTCCCCCCTCTCCCACAGACTGATGTAGTCTCTCCCCTCTCTCCCCTCTCTCCCACAGACTGATTTAGTCTCTCCCCTCTCTCCGACAGACTGATGTAGCCACCCCCCTCTCCCACAGACTGATGTAGTCTCCCCTCTCTCCGACAGACTGATGTAGCCTCCCCTCACTCCCACAGACTGATGTAGTCTCCCCTCTCTCCCACAGACTGATGTAGCCTCCCCTCACTCCCACAGACTGATGTAGTCTCCCCTCTCTCCCACAGACTGATGTAGCCTCCCCTCACTCCCACAGACTGATGTAGTCTCCCCTCTCTCCCACAGACTGATGTAGCCTCCCCTCTCTCCCCACAGACTGATGTAGCCTCCCCTCTCTCCCACAGACTGATGTAGCCTCCCCCCTCTCCCACAGACTGATGTAGCCTCCCCCCTCTCCCACAGACTGATGTAGTCTCCCCTCTCTCCCACAGGGTACTGCGTGGACCTGGCTGCAGAGATCGCCAAGCACTGTGGCATCCGTTACCAGCTGCGCATCGTGGGGGACGGCAAGTACGGGGCCCGCGACGCAGAGACCAAGATCTGGAACGGGATGGTGGGGGAGCTGGTCTACGGGGTGAGAGACACACACAGACACACAGACAGACTGACAGACACACAGACACACTCATGAATATTCTAAAGGCAGAAGCATTGTACACAACAAAAACAAACAAACTTTCACAATTACATCGGTGAAGGTTAGAAATGCGTTTTCTGCGACTAGGATGAATTAATTGTTGTATGTGAGTATTTCACTGATTTGAAGATGTTTCTGACTTATTATGTCTTTATTGACATAGACGTGCACCGTATATAATCTGTATGTGACAACAATTGTAAACTTATAATAGCTACATGAAAAATTATTAGAACAGCTCTGTCCATGACATTAGTTGGAATCAATTTCTGGATATACCTGGATATATTCCCAGACTTGTTTCTGAGTTCTTTTGTGGGATGCTGAATAGAGATTGGCGTGCAGATCTATGCATGCAGATGTGAATACTGCAGCAGATGCTAATCAGCTCTGAGTTGAAAGACGGGGACGAAACAGGATTGTCGCTCCAAATGTGAGCTTATAAAAGACACTGAGTGTGCAGTCACAAGAGAGGGCATGTTTTACTCATTTTAAATGGAATTTTATCCACCAAGGTTTTAATTTTCAACATTTGTGACTAGTGTTCTACTTTTCATTCTTACAGTACCTGTTATAGTTTGGGAAGGTTCATCTTGTCTTCTTGGTAGAATAATGTGATTTGGTTCTTCTTTACCAGACGTTTGTACAATTGATGATTTTACCATGACATGTTTCAACGGTATTCTCCCATCACCACAATAGTATGGTTTAGATGAACCAAATCACTTTGTTGAACCTAAATTATTTTTAAAGTGTCACTTATATATTTTGTGCTTTAAGTTTTAACAAAAAATAAACCCAAAGAAAAAATAAACCTAAAACTGTAAATACAGTTTAGTTCCAGAGTGTGAGTACCAAAATGAGGGTGAACACAAGAACTAAAAGAGACGTGGAATTGACAATGATGGAGCAGGGAGTGACTTATGACAGGGTTTGAATATAAAGGAGCTGAGGGAACGGGGGAAACATGGGGGAAGCAAATAGGAAAATAAAACAGGAACTCGAAGTGATGACAACCTTTTCCTTGACATTAAGAATGTACAGCTCAGCAGAGAAAAAGGTGTAACATTTCTACTGGGGCAGAGCTGTAAATGTTTAACAACATTGGATCAATACGACACAAATTAGTTTAATTTGCTCATTGCTCATTTACAAAGACAGGTCTGTGCTTTTTCTCATTGGAGTATGTCAATCACACAGAGTCTGTCCCATGACCCTTGTTCATGGAACTATATCCAATGAGTGCCTTGTGTCCTGTGATGTCACATTATTCTCTTCGCTGAAGGACAAGGCCTCGCTCAGTATCAGCTCCTGCACGCGCTGCAGAATGGTCGGTGGGGCTGCACGTTAGGGGGCGTAGGTCATGCAGTCATTATGGTGTTTCATTTATTACAAATTGGGCATTTGGCCTTGAATTGGCACAACTATGCACCTTGAAAGAAAGCATGATTCATTATTCTCAAGTCCACGTATCGAAGGGAAGTCGCTGTCTCAGCGACTTTTCCTCACAGCCCTGTGTCCTCTGCACAGAAGCAGAGTGGACGCTCTCTGCGCATCTCTCAAGTCAAGTCTTTGTTTTAGTGTGCAGCATGTGAAAATAGTGAATGTGTAATGAGTTTGAAAACTGAGCATTCAGACAGAAGGGACATTGTGTCATTGTCCTCCAAATAATTTAATAGGGGAAAAAAATACAAAATTATAATTGATTCATCTTGTAAAAAGTGGTCACTGCATATTTGGGAGTCCTTGGATGAGTCCCAGTCCTTTTGGTTGATTGCCGCCATCGTCGTCCTCTGTCTTCATGACGAGCAGGTATCAGATGAAAAGACACATTTGGCTTATGTCCCTGTCTGTTAGTACAACCAACCGCACTGCACAATATCACTGTTTTGGCTGTTATTCAGTGAAATGGGTTGTTTTGGTCAAGTTTCTGATGTTTAGCAGTTGAGTGAACAATTAGAGTTCCGCCGTCTGTCATGGAGAGTGGGCGTGGCCAGGACGCCACATGCACGGGGCCAATAGAGTGTAGTATGTAGAGTGTAGTATGTAGAGTGTAGTATGTAGAGTGTAGTATGTAGAGTAGAGTGTGTAGAGTAGAGTGTAGTGTGTACTGGGAAAGGGGCCTGAGGGCAGCGGCCTATAAAACTGTGTGGGACAGGCCTTTATTGTCAAAAGAGTCTCACCACAAAGTCTGCTCACCACAAAGTCTGGATAAGTCAGCAGAATTATCCATTCTAAAAAAATATTCAAAAAGGACACATATTATAAAGAACTGTATGATTTGAGACGGGAATATCGGGAACTTCTACCTCGAATCTTGAGAATGTAAAATAGATAGGGAAAGGATCTAGTGGGATCTAGTGGGAAATGATACAGTAGTCTGCTAGCTTTAAATCTAATTACTATATGACTTGGACCGTACGCGCGCTCTGATTGGTTGATTACCGGTCTGATATTTTCCCATCTCGGACCGTTACCATGACAATTGGTCCAAACAGCGCGTAACACATTTGATATCTTTCCTCGGACAATCTGTCCACAGCCCGTATCACACAAAACCAAGTCGGACATGAACATACTTCACAAATATCTCAAAAGCATTTGTAAAGACACAGACGAGAGTCATAATAAAACATTTATTAACCTTGCTTGCTCGGTCTGTACAGAGAAATATCAGACCGCGGCCTTAATGTACAGACGGCTCGATCTGTACATTAAGGCAGCGGTCTGATATTTCTCCATACAGACCTCGCGCTCGGTTAATTAGCCGTTAATGTAACATGGCACGGTCTAATTGAAGCCATGTCTTATTCAAGAATGTAAATTGACTGTAGAAATTCTCAAAAACAACTTTCGTTTTAAAGCAAACAACATCTCTGTCCGTGATGTTGTAGTCTGAGGATTTGTATAACAGCGTTGAAAACAGAGCATTTGGACAGAAGGGGTAGGGGGACATGATCAAATCAAACCAGTACACACCAAGATATTCATCAGTGTTTACTAAGAGTCTGTCGTCTTTGACCTGGAATGGTGACATTTCCTGGAGCTATTGTGATCAAAATAAAAGAAGCACCTAAAATGCAGGACTAATCAAAAGAAACCAAACCAAACAAAGCAAACAGAGACGTGGAAGTGGAATACATTAGAATGGCGTTATAACAGGAAGAGGTATTGAAAAAACATAATATCAAATCTTGAAAGATCTGTGCCGTGACAGGCAATCCCTAAAATAGATAAAGGTCTTAATCCAGACACAGTTTTGTGCTTTTGGCCTTTTCTCATTGGGACTATATCAATGTCAATCTGCATCTAAGACTGTAGAAGTTGTTTTTCGGGTGGATGACACAGCTCTGTTTGCTTGACTCTCGTGCAGAAAGCAGACATCGCTATTGCTCCCCTGACCATCACACTGGTCCGAGAGGAGGTCATCGACTTCTCCAAGCCCTTCATGTCCCTGGGCATCTCCATCATGATCAAGAAGCCGCAGAAGTCCAAGCCGGGGGTCTTCTCCTTTTTGGACCCGCTGGCCTACGAGATCTGGATGTGCATCGTGTTCGCGTACATCGGAGTGAGCGTGGTGCTGTTCTTGGTGAGTTGAGAAGGCAAACTTTTAGAAGCAATCAGTAAAGGGAGGGAACATGACTTTTCCCCTCTGTGGGACAAATCAAGGTTTATCTTATGCTGCTTGTCCATAACGGTCGTGGTGGACGCTCTGCTTTTAGCCTGGGTTCATCCAAATGTTGTGTTTTGCCTGGAATTGCATCTGATTTCCCTAGGTTGAGTTACAGATATACCTTTGGAGAGGACAGTCCACTTGATAATCAATTTTAAAATATTCTCTTTAAGCACTAACATCATTCATTATTAAGAAGAACTGATCCTTTATTTGTCTCACAGTGGGGAAATTTCAGTGTTGCATCACCAGTTACAGAACAGTAGGGAAAAGGAGCAGACAGCACAAGAAGAAATGAATCTAACTTAAGTGGAATGAAGAGGTTTTGGGCATCCAGGTCTAGTGCTCTGCTTGTTCATCCCAACCTGGATTAGAGCTAATTTAAAGGGCTCCTGAGGATTAGTGCTAACTCAAACAGCTAACCTGATTGTTAGAGGACATATCTGGATGTATAATTACACAGAGTGGTGAGTCACAGATTGTCAAGCCCAAAATGGGGAGTGTGACAGAGGGAAACAGAGTAAGAGGAGATTATTTTTAGATTTATTTTAAACTATTCACATGACACAACAATTGTCCCTCGAGATGACGACTGTTGTGATTTAGGGCAATACAAAAATAAAATAAAATAAAATTGAATTGACTTGAACCCTTGGAAAGTGGAGCCAATAACCAAACTGGAGATGTAACCGAGGCTTAGAAGGGTCTTATAGGAAGTCAAAAGTATGAATTACATGACATGTTTTGGTGGTAGACTTTCGCCTTCGTCTGAGGTGATGGTGAGCAGGGGATGTGACCTTTTACTTTACTAGTTTGTCTCTAAAGAAAGTAACTTATTAAGTTACTTTCGCATTACTGTTATTATCCACTACAGTCTATGCCATCCACAAAACTGGACGCTACCCATGGTCCGGTATGAACGCCCCTTAACGCTCTGAAACAATGTGAAGCTGGGAAACAAATTGAACAAATGAAACGCTTCGACACCAACAGTTGATAGGCAAAGGGAACAGTGGCTGCAGAGTCACATGAGTGGCTGTTTTGATACACGCTGCAACACAGTGTTTCGAAGAAGTTTGCTTGGGGAGCCTCTGTGTTTGTCCATCACTGAAAAGTATCGTTGTGGATCAAAAAATGATCAACGTTACGTTTTTAAATTGAATATAGTTAACCCGTAACTTTGCTTTTCCCCGGAAAAAGCAGTTTTGTTAGTGTGACACGTTACACCCAACACTGATGGTGAGACATGTCTCTTATCATCTGTTATTCCCTGATGTGGCCCGTCTGACAGATCTGATCAGATCTGATCTGTCAGACGGGCCACGCTCCCTGTGGTCTCTGGAGAATGGAAGGATACGAGAAGCATTTGAAATCAGGAAGCGTGGCGCACCGACCATCAACAGAGACAAGGGGGCTTTTTTCTTGGCTCACGGTTGGGACTCACTTCTTCTCAGACCACAGTGGGGGCGTGGTCAGTATGACGGATCAGATCGCTCTGTCAGACTGGCCGGATCCGGTAATAACAGCTGATAAGAGACATGTCCCACCATCACATGTCACTTCTGAAAAAAGCGTATGTCTACCGGCCAAACATGTCCGGTAATTAAGCAGTACTAGCTTCTTTACACTTATTATAAGAGCCTTCTAAGCCTTAAAAATAAGTATGCATAATAAACTTTTTACATTTGGAGATGCAACTCTTTTCCAGTAGAGAGCAATTCTTAGCTGCCAGATTTACCCTTGAAAATTCTTGCCTGATCTAAGTCTGACGCATGTGTTTGTGGTCAGGTATCCCGCTTCAGCCCGTACGAGTGGACCCTGGAGGAACCGGAGGACGGAGCTCTGCCTCTCACCACCGAATCCAACAACGAGTTCGGCATCTTCAACTCACTCTGGTTCTCGCTGGGAGCCTTCATGCGCCAGGGCTGCGACATCTCCCCCAGGTATACTGCATTACGCAAACACAGATGCTAAATTATACATGTGGGCCTCTCGTGTGTGAGCAGCATGTCGGTGTAAGGAGAGAGGAGCGAGGAGCCAGAGGAGAGCAGGGTCCTCAGGCTATGCTGCAGGCCATGGGGCAGACGCGCTGTCCCCATTCACTCTGCGCACACGTTGCAGTCTATAGAAGCCACATGAATGGCAGGGGATGGGTGGGGAGATGGGTCAATCTAGGGCTTGGACAGTATATCCTTTTGCCTTATATGGGATACTGGCGTTGCCGTGACTCACATACGGTACTCGGGTCTTTTTCAAATTTGTTTTTGTGCAGTTAATAATAAGCTTCTGTTTAAATGATTAGATGTTACTGTAGCCTGTTAATACTTTGATAGATACTTTATTGAGAAATGTAGGTGTCCAGCATCAGAAACACATCCATCCAGACAAGTCCATTAATGCATAATTCAATAAGTTACTAGCCATAGTAATAAAGTAGCAGAGGTGCAGCTCTACTGAAAACACAAGACTGAGGAGTGAAAACCCAGTCCTTTTGGCATAAGTGGCATAGTACCTTTCATTCAACATGTCGACACGTAAACGGGATCCTACTGAGACTAGACCAGCAGATTCATTTAAGAGCACTGGGAAATGTCTGCCCTTGGCTTATATTACAAATGCATGTATTTGTAAATTTTTATATCCTGCACAGACTATATTTTTTAGCCTTTGACATGTATGCACACTTTTGTCTTTTGCACAACCTGAGTGATTCTATCCATGCCAAATATAACACGTACATTGTTCCAGTGTGAGATCAATAAAGTCTATCTTATCTGATCTTAATATTGTGATTAGGAAACATGGTGCCTTTAATTGTGCTGCAGAAATGAAATGAATATGCTGCTGCGGTCGATCCTGTGTGGAAATCAAATACTCAAAGTCACAAGATGTTGTGTTTGCCAAAAGTGTGTTATGATAGCAAGTGTGTTTACATTTACTGTTCCAAAGGGTGAGTCCCAAAGCAAATGTATAAGACGCTTAGGATTGTTTTGGCGCCGTGTGGTGTGTTAAGTGAGAAGTGTCTGCATGTGCACCGGTGACACTCCTCCCTGGGCCCCTCCCCTGCAGGTCCCTCTCCGGGCGCATCGTGGGCGGGGTCTGGTGGTTCTTCACTCTCATCATCATCTCGTCGTACACGGCTAACCTGGCTGCCTTCCTCACGGTGGAGCGCATGGTGTCTCCCATCGAGAGTGCAGAGGACCTGGCCAAGCAGACCGAGATCGCCTACGGGACCCTGGACTCAGGATCCACCAAGGAATTCTTTAGAGTGAGTGAGGAGCTTTGGACCCTCTTACAACTTTGTTCCCTCATCAAAATAAGAATGAAAGACGTGTGAGAACTGGGGATGGAGACTTATGAGAACTGGGGATGGAGACTTATGAGAACTGGGGAATGGAGACTTATGAGAACTGGGGATGGAGACTTATGAGAACTGGGGAATGGAGACTTATGAGAACTGGGGAATGGAGACTTATGAGAACTGGGGATGGAGACTTATGAGAACTGGGGGGTGGAGACTTATGAGGACTGGGGAATGGAGACTTATGAGGACTGGGAATGGAGACTTATGAGGACTGGGGGGTGGAGACTTATGAGAACTGGGGATGGAGACTTATGAGAACTGGGGGGTGGAGACTTATGAGGACTGGGGAATGGAGACTTATGAGGACTGGGAATGGAGACTTATGAGGACTGGGGGGTGGAGACTTATGAGAACTGGGGGATGGAGACTTATGAGAACTGGGGAATGGAGACTTATGAGAACTGGGGATGGAGACTTATGAGAACTGGGGAATGGAGACTTATGAGAACTGGGGAATGGAGACTTATGAGAACTGGGGATGGAGACTTATGAGAACTGGGGGGTGGAGACTTATGAGGACTGGGGAATGGAGACTTATGAGGACTGGGAATGGAGACTTATGAGGACTGGGGGGTGGAGACTTATGAGAACTGGGGGGTGGAGACTTATGAGAACTGGGGGGTGGAGACTTATGAGAACTGGGGGGTGGAGACTTATGAGAACTGGGGGATGGAGACTTATGAGGACTGGGGAATGGAGACTTATGAGGACTGGGAATGGAGACTTATGAGGACTGGGGGGTGGAGACTTATGAGAACTGGGGGGTGGAGACTTATGAGAACTGGGGATGGAGACTTATGAGAACTGGGGGGTGGAGACTTATGAGGACTGGGGAATGGAGACTTATGAGGACTGGGAATGGAGACTTATGAGGACTGGGAATGGAGACTTATGAGGACTGGGGGGTGGAGACTTATGAGAACTGGGGGGTGGAGACTTATGAGAACTGGGGGGTGGAGACTTATGAGAACTGGGGGATGGAGACTTATGAGAACTGGGGGATGGAGACTTATGAGAACTGGGGATGGAGACTTATGAGAACTGGGGATGGAGACTTATGAGAACTGGGGATGGAGACTTATGAGAACTGGGGGAATGGAGACTTTTGGGACTGGGGATGGAGACTTATGAGAACTGGGGGATGGAGACTTATGAGAACTGGGGGATGGAGACTTATGAGAACTGGGGGATGGAGACTTATGAGAACTGGGGAATGGAGACTTATGAGAACTGGGGGATGGAGACTTACGAGAACTGGGGATGGAGACTTATGAGAACTGGGGGATGGAGACTTACGAGAACTGGGGATGGAGACTTACGAGAACTGGGGATGGAGACTTATGAGAACTGGGGAATGGAGACTTATGAGAACTGGGGATGGAGACTTATGAGAACTGGGGGATGGAGACTTATGAGAACTGGGGGATGGAGACTTATGAGAACTGGGGGGTGGAGACTTATGAAAACTGGGGATGGAGACTTATGAGAACTGGGGGATGGAGACTTTTGGGACTGGGGATGGAGACTTATGAGAACTGGGGGGTGGAGACTTATGAAAACTGGGGATGGAGACTTATGAGAACTGGGGGATGGAGACTTTTGGGACTGGGGATGGAGACTTATGAGAATGGGGATGGAGAATTACGAGAACTGGGGAATGGAGACTTATGAGAACTGGGGGATGGAGACTTACGAGAACTGGGGATGGAGACTTATGAGAACTGGGGGATGGAGACTTACGAGAACTGGGGATGGAGACTTACGAGAACTGGGGATGGAGACTTATGAGAACTGGGGAATGGAGACTTATGAGAACTGGGGATGGAGACTTATGAGAACTGGGGGATGGAGACTTATGAGAACTGGGGGGTGGAGACTTATGAAAACTGGGGATGGAGACTTATGAGAACTGGGGATGGAGACTTTTGGGACTGGGGATGGAGATTTATGAGAACTGGGGGGTGGAGAATTATTAGAACTGGGGGGTGGAGATTATGAGAACTGGGGGATTGAGACTTACGAGAACTGGGGATGGAGACTTACGAGAACTGGGGATGGAGACTTATGAGAACTGGGGAATGGAGACTTATGAGAACTGGGGATGGAGACTTATGAGAACTGGGGGATGGAGACTTATGAGAACTGGGGGTGGAGACTTATGAAAACTGGGGATGGAGACTTATGAGAACTGGGGGATGGAGACTTTTGGGGGGGATGGAGATTTATGAGAACTGGGGGGTGGAGAATTATTAGAACTGGGGGGTGGAGAATTATGAGAACTGGGGGATTGAGACTTATGAGGACCAGGGACTTATGATCAGGGTCAGCAGAGGAGTTCCTTTCATTATTATCATGTGGAAAAAAAACATGTAACTCTTAATGGATTCATACATCCACTAACGATGACTGGGAAAATGCATTTGTAATATCATTGATAATAACATTATAATATCATTAAATAACATTAATAATCTTTCAAGCCCAATTGTACAATGTATTCCTGATTATTCCTCCACTGGCCTTCTGACACTCCCCCTTGTTCCAACAGCGCTCAAAGATTGCCCTGTTCGATAAGATGTGGCAGTACATGAAGTCGGCTGAGCCCTCTGTGTTCGTGAAGAAGACCTCAGAGGGCGTGCAGCGCGTCCGAAAGTCCAAAGGGAAGTACGCCTACCTGCTGGAGTCCACCATGAACGAGTACATCGAGCAGCGGAAGCCCTGCGACACCATGAAAGTGGGCGGGAACCTGGACTCCAAAGGCTACGGCATCGCCACGCCCAAGGCATCGCCATTAAGGTGGGTGGATCAGTATAACAATGTGAGCCAGCCCAAAGCCATGTACCATTCACTTACCCATACTGCCCCTCTGCGCATCCCAAACTGTGACCAGTGGTGGAAAGAGGACTGTCGCCAAAGTACAGTTACATAGATACCAATGTATGCAGTCACACGCACTGCTGAGACACGTCCAAACTCGGGAAATATGCAGGTCAGCTTTCTGGTGACTACATCCATCTCACAAATACTGACTGTAGCTGAGTTAAAGTATCTCACATACTTCCATAGCTCTGGCCCATCAGAACAGACAGCGGATACAGCGGCGCCTGCAGGGGAGAGGCCGATACTGTTTATTTATATATTCATTATGGGTTGCCCTTTGAGATGGATGGAAGTAAAATGTTGTGAACAAATCAAACCACAACATGCTCTTTGTACTTTCTGTCCGAAAAAGCTGATATGTGTGAGAAAACTCGTAACAGAAGCCAAGAGATATTTTTTATATATTGTAATTACATAGCTCCATTGCTTGTATGAAGGTTTGAAATGAGGTACCCCAGCATTTGGTCAGGCCATTGGTTGCACTCGTGACTATGGGCCAAATTTGAAGAACGTCACAAGGGCAATAAAGTGCTTTCAAGGGAGACAAGTTTCTCCTTCAGTCACTAATGTTGCTGATTTGTAGTTATTTAATCCCATACAGTAACTTATTCTAAAGAGTAAACCCAAAATAAAAATCATGATGATGAGTATAGCCGTATTGTTTTACCGTTAGCTTCGCTTTTGGTTAAATCCAAACAGAATTGAAGTTTCATTCAGAATAATCTACCACAAAAAAAAAAACTAAACTCGTGTTAAATAAAATAAGGTAATCCTTTGACGTCCACAATATAAAAAATAAACTTGCCAAAAAACAGCTTGAGCACCCCTGCTAGAAGGAATCAGACCACGAGAGAGAAGCTACAACATATTTTTAACCAGACTTGGCCCTAGAGCGAGTCTGGTCTTCATTTGGCAAACTTCCCAAACCCCTGTAGGCGCCCTGATCTTGTATCGATGCGGTGAGAGTTTGTAGCAGCAAATAGTGGTAAGGCAAGTTTGGATTTGGACTATTGGGACTTGTATTGCACTCATTACTTACACTGATTTGAAATGGACCTAATTACAAAAAGATGGCAAAAATTGAACTCACAACAATCCCCACTAACTCCAGTATTGGTTGCTTTCCACCCCTGCCTATGAAAGCGTCCCGCAGTGTGATGCCCAATGGCCACAAAGAAGCGATGGGACCAGCGTGCGCTCCAGGGCAGGCAGTATGTTAGCTGCTGAATGGGGCATGGCAGCTACACTGGTTGTTATAATTATCCACCTACCCTGATGACCTTTTGTGGTTTGTATGGTCCATGGTGGCCTCCTCTGACCCCGGTGAGAGGCGGCTGCTGCGACCAGCTCTGAGCTTTTGAGGAGACTGTGTATAGGGACGGGACGGTATGACGTATACGTTGCGGAGTTGAGTATTTTAAAGTGAGACTACGTACCTCGGACACCTATCTCTTTTTTTGTTGCTGTTGCTTTTATAGACGTTGCAACATTGAGTACTTTTACAAAGCAGATAAATATGTAGTGTCTATTTATGACTTCAAACCATTCTGAGCACTTTAAAGTCCCCTCCCCTGGTGCCCACTGAGCAGATGGAGCCTTGTGCTGCTTTCAAAGTCTTGTAACTTTGAATTAGGACTCACACTTTAGAACAGTAATGATCATACACATTACATTGTCTCTCATATATACTGTAGAACTCACTTTTGGCAAATCTTGTTACATATATATTATTTTCACACAGGCGCAACTGCAGCACCGCAAGTCACTTCCGGCCTTTGCCTCACGTAACAGAGCCAAATGATGAAACGCATGCAGACGGACTGTGTAAACATATTGCGTTAATTGACTATAGGCATCTAGCTGTTAAAGAAGCTTGTCTTTTCCCTGTGCTCTTAAATGCATCTGTTGGCCTTGACTCAGTAGGATCTTGTGTAGTTGATATCCAGCATACACGCAGTTGAAATGGTTTGATTATGTCAAGTTTACATGCTCCTTGCTGGACTCAGAGAGAGATGCTGGTTTTGTAAATGTACTCATACAGTAGTTTGATCATTAAAAACAGACCTGGAGTTGTTTTTGGCTCCATCCAAATTAGGAACTTCTGGGACAAAGTAGCGCACGAACACATACGTTTCTGTCTAAATTCTCGGGTGCAAACTTGACAAGCTATAACAAATCCCTACATCTTCTAAAGAACATGGCATAATACCAAATATCGAGTGCACACGTAGCATTTTGGCACGTGGGAATGCTTTAATACCGGTTATCGTCCCATCCCTATGTGTAAAACTGACAAAGACAAGTCACCACACAAACTTGTAACTCATGCAGCATAAAACAGCTCAAATGTGCTTTTCAAAGTGCTTGAATTCCTCAGTTTTACACACAATTCATTTAACGACTATGTGTCCTGCTACAGTGAAAGGAGATCAGTAAGCCTGTCACGATCCAGAACATAATTTCTTGTGCTTGCTATTGATCGTAGAGCAAGATAATCCCATAGAAAACTCCTCCAATTAAGGTATTAAAGTAAGAAAGAAAATGAATTAAACATCTTCATAATCAAAGTAAGTAAGCGGTCTGAATTCAGACATGATTGTTATGAGAACTTCTCGTGACAGGCTTAGAGATCATTGATCAGAGACGCTGCAGTCCCATGGTGGTGAGCCGCTACGACATGAGCACGACGGCAGGCCTTGTTTCCCCGGCAACCAGTCTTCCAGCAACACTGTTTTGGTGTTGTGCGTTCTCTCTTTCATCCACAATGAGTGATTCTGTTTGTATGCTGAGGGGAGGCGCTTCAGAGCTTGTGATCTCTGCCACGGAGGGAGGATGGCCTTGAGACTGTGGCGTTGAGGACGAAGCCTTTAAGACAAACGTGTAGGCAAGGCAAGTTTATTTGTATGGCACAGGTCATGCACAAGGCGGCTCAATGTGATCTACACAACAAGAAAATAAATGTTAAAAATCACAGAAGGCTTCATGATAAATAAGCACAATAAATAATCACATTGCATCAAAAGGAGCGAAGAAATACAGGCCTCGAACCTGTATTTAATTATTAGTTTAAGTTGTTTTTCTTACGCACTGGCCTCTAGCCCTATTTAGATATACACTGGGGCCTCTAACCCTCATTTGCTAAAACAGCTTAGAGAAAGGACATTCTTTACACAATGATAGATTTAAATGTAAATGTAGCAGAACGGCATTTCCATTTCTGACCACTAATTAAGAGGTCATTCTACTCTTCTCTTACTCAAGTCCTTCAATGTTTATTTGTGTATTTTCTGCTGAAGAAATGATTCTGCATTCTCAAATATGAAATGTCAAAATATATTGTTTGAGGAACAACATTAACTCAAATAGTTTTGGATATGAATGGCACAAGGTGTAAAAGTGCACAGTTCCAGCAATATTTTCAATAAACAGTTTGGATCATACATAAGTGACTTTAAATGTACAAAGAAGACCGGAGTACTTCTTTACATGTGCGGCAGCTTTGCACTGCTCAAAAGTTTTCTCTCTTTCAGTTCCGCGGGTTAGTTTTACATGTTATTAAAGTTCATGAAGGCAAGATATACACCAGTACAAATACTTTCACCACAAAACGTACATATTATGTGCAAATATTTATCCGGGATGCCTGATAAACAAGCATATATAGATAAATCTCATTCAAAATCTGTGCAAGAAACGACCAATTGGTATTTTTTTGAGACAAACTTACTGCACATCCCATGATATGATTTATTGCAAATTGTACCAGAACATTTTGACTACGGTTGCCGTGCAAACAAGGCCACAGTTTTGAGTTCAGTCTTGTCCTTCAGATCTCTATGAGTACCTAATGAACCAGGTGTGTAGTGTAGAAAACAGAGCCTTATCCAGGGGTCTGCAGCCTGCCCACAGAATATGTCTAGTCTTTTGTGAATTGCAAAGTTAAACAGATACTTGCCCCTGAACAATCAGACATCCCATACCTTCATTGAGCCATTGTTTTTGCCTTTTTCCTCCCCCATCCAGTGAAGTGGGTTATACTCGGAGTTCCACGCAGGCTGCAGACGTCTGCTTTGTGCAGCTTGAGACGCCTCCTTGTTCAGTCCCTGTCCCAGCGTCTGTCTGCTTACATGTGTCTGTGTGTCATTTCTAACACTGTTCTGATTTCTCCTGCGAGCGTGTGGACCGTAAGGTTGTGTGCTGTGTCCGAGAGTGTCTGCTAAAGTCATGACCAATACGATCAAAAAGAGGCAGATCAGGAGTTTTGTCAACAAACAACAGATAACAACATTCTCCCTTCTCGAAAAGACATCCACGGCCTAATCACTCGATCTGAAAATCAAAATGTACTCCCCCTCCAGCTCCGCAAATGATCAGTGTTGAATCTGTCTCATCATATTACGTCAGATACAGTTGTTTTGGCATTGATCCAACAAACTCAACAGTTGGTAGGGTTCTCCCATGTGCATACAGAAGCGATCCATCACAGAATACAACTCAAAAGTAGTGAACCAAGTTTGAAACCACCATCCAGGCTCTGTTCTGAACAGGAGATTTTTTTCCTTAAACACTGAGAGACCTGGGCTGGCATTTTGACATGTCATTTAACCCAAAAGGTAGTCTTCCTGCCAGTGCTCACATGTGGGTCAGCTGAAGGAGGTTAGAAAACTACACTCAAGTCACACAAGGGACAGTACTTTGTTGTCCTTGGAAAACTTGTCGTAGTCCAGAGGAGTGTGATTCCCTCCAGGACTTTGGAAGATTATTTTTTGCAAGTGGGAAGTTGGGTTTGGCCCTTTTTATTTGGTGAAAATTAACATGGGTCCAAACAACATGCCCAGTGTTCCTGCTTCATACAAAAATGTGATACATTTTCCGCAAAGCAAATAATTTCAGAGCATCTGTAGTCTTTACTAGCGACACATTGGTCGTGACACAGACTGTCCACCAGCAGCGGGCGTGAGTGCATGTGTATGTTTGTTTGTGTATACGTGTGTTTATATGTGTGTGTGTGTGTGTGTGTGTGTGTGTGTGAGTGTATGTGTGTCTTCACAGGTCCTCGAGGACTCGGTCTCTCCTCCGCCACCCCCCCCCCCCCCATTCCTCCCCCATCCCCTCCCCCTCTAACACCCCTGTGTTCATGTAGAAACGCGGTGAACCTGGCGGTCTTAAAGTTGAACGAACAGGGTCTGCTGGACAAACTGAAAAACAAGTGGTGGTATGACAAGGGCGAGTGCGGCAGCGGTGGAGGGGAGAGCAAGGTTAATGCACACACACGCACACGGGGCGTTCGCGCACGGGGGGCAGCGCGTGGCCTTGACCTCGCCGCTTATATTCCGGTGCCAGAGAGACTGTGACGGCGCGTTTGGGGTCGGAAACGCTGGCTGATTACTCACCTTGAAATGAAGTCAAATGTGTGCACTACAGAAGACAATGGCTGAAATTAAACTTCAAAATCTATCCAAATTCCGTTTTTGCCTTTTGTAGTGAGCATGTTTTATGTTTTTTTTCCCAGAATTAAGCAAATCTTTTCAACATTATGCTGAAAAGTAATCTTAAAAGATTAAAATTAAGAGATTCTTTATTCGTCCCACATTCGAGACATTTCAGTGTTGCAGAACAGTAGGAATGAGAAGCACTCAGCACAAGATAAATTAACAATAACTCTAGAATAATAACTCTAGAATAAAGTATAAAATCTCCACTCACAAGTCATCACAATCTTCACTGTGATGACTTCATCATGAGGGCAGACTTCTTTTAAATTGTAAAGGGTAATACTGGGAACACATGTATAAATACGCAGAGCAAACATTTGTAGATTCAAAGTGAGTAAGTGTCCTGTGTTTCGTACCCCACGATGCCGCCACAGCCGCCCTAGCGCACAGTGCACAGCGCGCGCTGCCCGTGCTGCTCCCCACATCCTGCAGTGTGTAGGCGGAGCTTCCTGTTTGGTGGAGGTCCGGGTTCAGGGTCAGGGCTCATGTTAGCTTAGGGTCAGCTGACCTCACACCAGATGGCAGTGCCCCCTGGAGGTGACGCTGTGAATGAACAGTTTGCACTAAACTGGCTTCATTCAGGGCTCATCACTTCATATGTTGACATCAGCTGCCAATGATACTGTAGGTGTCGAGTAGCACTTCTCATTCTTGTATTTACACGTCAGAGCGACTCATTGGCCTTACAGACAAAAACATGACAGCTGGCCACCATATCCAAACGCCGAGAATGAGAGGTGCTCCCTGCACTAATAACATAAGATAACATTGATAACGATGTTATTTATGTTATTCCTATTAAAGAGTGCCAGTAAACCTTGCCGTATTGAAACTGAATGAGCAAGGAACCCTAGACAAGATGAAAAACAAGTGGTGGTACGATAAAGGCGAGTGTGGCTTCAAGGACTCCACTAATAAGGTTAGTTTTACTGTTTGTACAGTCTGAGCACACATGTAGGCAGCTGTAGAGCACAGATCTATGTGTGTCGTGTCCATGTGTGTGTGTCCTGTCCACGAGCAACACACTTGGGATCAGCCCACATTCCAACTGCTCAGGAGGGTTTTTTCTACAGCACAGATGTGTTACAGGCAACATGGCTCTTTCAGGCAAAGTAGGAAGTATATGATTTATTCCACTGGGCATAAAACCTGTCTCTCCCGGGTCCAGGCTGAAGCTAATTGTAAACAATACTACAGACCATCTGCTTAATCCTGTATGTATGATATTATAAGGATCGGTTATTGCTGCTTAAACCAGTCCCCTGATGCACAAGGAGTCATTCACGGCACTGCAGTTTCAATTCACATGGGCTTCAGCTTGTCCTCAGCTGAATGGCAATCTACAGATTCACAAAGGCCGGATATTGTGGGGCTTTTAAAGTTCCTTGTAATTTCTTTTGAAATCCATAAATTTTCTGAAAATCCACACTTTAGTGTTACAAACTCGATTTGCTTTACCGGAGAACAGGAGAAAACATACCACTTTTGCCAATGTTTGTGACGTCCATGGTGCGAGCATGCGCCATTGAGCACAGGCCCTTGATCTGGATGGTCAGACATCTTGGAGCTGGGTTTATACACATATAACAAATCCACTTTTCACTGGATCTTCCTCTTTTGCCTGCCTGTTTGCCTGTAACAGATTTTCAAATGAGTTTGTTGAGATTACGAATTTGTAGTTCATAAGCAGTTTAAGAAGCAGTTCATAAGCAGTTGTTATAAAATTAGGAAACTTCATCTACATCTGTGGTCTCAAACATGACCGCAAAAAGGTATTATGGGGCCCCCTAGTGGACATCAAAGTTTATGTCATTGTGGCCCCACTGAGTCTGGGCTATTATGGATTATGGTTATTCATAATCAAGTAAACAACCACACTCTTTACCTTCTATAATAACTATTTGAAACGTGCTGGTATATTTAACAATCCAGGTGTGTACAATTTTAGTGGTGTAATTATACATCTGTGCATAAACCAGTTTCCTCCATTGTTCACACAGCAACCCATATATATACCTTTTATAGCAGCCCGGGCTCACCCAGACGCAGCTAAATTGAGTTTGAGACCACTGATCTTCATCCTCAGCACAAACTGTTCCCCTCGCCCTCACAGAACACTCTTTGGAGAAACAGCCCATACCTCTAGGGGGTGTTTTTCCCTCTGACACCAGGTGATGGAGGAGCTCTGTGGAACATGAGGAGCAGTTATAAATGTATTTCAGACAAAACCTCTATTTCAAGTGTCCAAGTAAAGGTAGCAAACCCAAGTATAATATGTTTTATCTTGTCCATACCGAATTAAGGTTCTTCCTAGAGGATACTTAATGCAACATTTCCATTTCAGAGACTGATAAACAAAAATAAATGTTTGTTTTTGACTAAGTAGATTGAATGCTGAAATATGCACAAGGTATGACCTTGATTACAAAGTACTGCACGTTATAGCTGGTAATGGAACTATGCATGTGAGTATGACCTACAGAAAGAGCAGCGTCAGTACTAGTACTAGTTATAGTAGTAACTTCAGCAGTAGTAACACAGTAGTAGTTGTATAAGCAGTAGTTGATACAGCAGCAGCAGCAGCTGCAGTAGAAGTTGCAGTAGTAGCAGTAGAAGTAGTAGTTGCAGTAGTAGTAGTAGCAGTAGAAGTAGTAGTTGCAGTAGTAGTAGTAGCAGTAGAAGTAGTAGTTGCAGTAGTAGTAGTAGTAGTAGTAGAAGTAGTGTTTGCAGTAGTATCAGTAGAAGTAGTAGTTGCAGCAGCAGCAGTAGTAGTTGCAGTGGCAGTAGTAACAAGAGTAGCCGCAGTAGTAGTAGTAGCAGTAGTAGTTGTATAAGTAGTAATAGATGCAGCAGCAGTATTAGCTGCAGTGGCAGCAGCAGCAGTAGAGGCAGCAGTAGTAGTAGCAGTACTAGTTGTATCAGCAGTATTAGCTGCAGTGGCCGCAGCAGCAGCAGAGGCAGCAGTAGTAGTAGCAGTACTAGTTGTATCAGCAGTATTAGCTGCAGTGGCCGCAGCAGCAGCAGAGGCAGCAGTAGTAGTAGCAGTACTAGTTGTATCAGCAGTATTAGCTGCAGTGGCCGCAGCAGCAGCAGAGGCAGCAGTCATTCGTTCACTTTATGTTCTCTGTCTGTACCCTGTGTGTAACCTGTTTTCGTGTGTACAGTTGTGTTGTGTGTAGTGTCAGAGCTCTCGTCTGTTGTGCGTCTCCTCTGACTGTGCGCTGTGTCCGCAGGAGAAAACCAGCGCTCTGTCGCTCAGTAACGTGGCCGGGGTCTTCTACATCCTGGTGGGGGGACTGGGGCTGGCCATGATGGTGGCCCTGGTGGAGTTCTGCTACAAAAGTCGTGCGGAGGCCAAGAAAATGAAAGTACGTATTGAAAGCGCTCGTCTGCCCATGCTCCATGTCTGTGACGGCCAAACGCTCATGACATCGGCTGCTGCTTTTTCCATTCACGCTGAGAGAATATGGAGGAGGAGGGAATTAGAAGTAGTTGTACGTCACTATAGCACCGTTTCCACCAGCTCTACTCGACTCTGCTCGACTCTGCCCCCATTGGGGGCGTTTCCAGTGTGCATGTTTTCCTCGAGTTTGCATTGGGTTCCTCATGGGGCTGGTGTTTCCCCTAACACTAAAAAAACAAGTACAATAGGCAAAATCCCCTTGCTATTGTCTGACCCCGAGCTTCAGATGGGTCCTGAGAGTTGTACTATGGCGACCACTGCTCCTGACAGACGTCCTGGTGGCGGTGAAGGATGGGTCAAATGCAGAGGGTAAATTTCCAGACGAGGGACAAGTATAACTTTGATTTTATCCAACTACATCCCCTCTGTAACTTCAGATATAGACCCATATCCACAAATATATAAATATATTCACATATATTGAGAGAAAAATAAGCTTCATTCAAACTCTCCGCAAAACACTTGTTCTTGGTATAAAAGTGTATCCAAAAACCAATTTTTAAAGTTTGGCCCCAACCTTCTATGACCAGTAAAATCCCACGCTTTGGCAAAAAGCTGTCACAAATTTACCATTATATGTAACAGGAAGTCCAAACTAGAAATTGACTTTGGCCTGTGATGCTAATGAGTTATGCAACAGTCAAAAATAGACATAAAGGCATGCATAAACATCTTAGTAATATTCCATCAGACATTTACCAATGTAGCAGCACGGTGGCTGAGTGGTTAGCGCTCTCGCTTCTCAGAAAAATGGTCCTGAGTTCGATTTCCTCCTGGTGCTCCTCTTTCAGCTTCCCCTACCACTAAAAACATGTACAATAGGTAAAGTCATCCTGCTCTGGTCCTGACATCTGGAGAAGCAGCATCTGGAGATCTGGGTCCTGGGCGCGATACTATGGCGACCATTGTTCCCGTTGTCCTAGTGGCATAACCCATGCACCGGACACATTTTTCTACAGGGGCAATAAAGTAGAACTTGTCAATCATAAAGTGAGCGGAGTATAATGTGACGATTGTTTTGGACCGAGATCTAGTGATGAGATATGAAGTCTTCATGAGTCCAACTGTAGACGGGAAAAAACTGTTCTTGTGGCGGGAGGTAACACACAAAGCCCAAGAAAATTAGTTAGTTAAAGTTGATTTTTTGCTGAAGCACAGCTGTAGGAATGGGTCTTCTCCGTATGGTTCGTTATGAGTCTCATTATGAGCTGGTGCACACATGGTCACACTACACAAACTACTGAAATGTGACGTAAGGAAGGATCACGTGGTGCACGGTCACACTCTCCAGGCAGAAAATGTGGAGGGATATGGCTCGCTCTGAGGCACGTGTGGACACAGAAAACAACCTGAAAAGACTCAGAGACACTCAAATAAACATGTTTTCTATTTTCTATATAGCTTTGGATATTTCCAAAGTTCTATCGGACAGTGGACCAGAAATGTACAGGAACTGGAGGCTTTTTGCCAACAAGGATGGTCAGCTTTACCGTTAGAGTAGATACCAGAGAGAGACCCAAGAGAGACCAGACAGAGAGACTAGAAAGAGAGAGAGCGAGAGAGACCACAGAGAGAGGGACTAGAAAGAGGAGAGAGAGAGAGCGAGACCACAGAGAGAGACCAAAGAGAGACCCGACAGAGACTAGAAAGAGGAGAGAGAGAAAGAGAGAGAGAGAGAGAGAGACCAGACAGAGAGAGTCGCGAGAAAGAGACCACAGAGAGAGACCAGAGAGAGAGACTAGAAAGAGGAGAGAGAGAGAGAGACCACAGAGAGAGACCCGGCAGAGAGTCAAGAGAGAGAGAGAAAGAGAGACTTGACAGAGAGACTAGAGAGAGATACCACCAAGAGAGACCCAACAGAGAGACTAGAAAGAGAGGGAGCGAGAGAGACCACAGAGAGAGGGACTAGAAAGAGGAGAGAGAGAGAGACCACAGAGAGAGACCAAAGAGAGACCCGACAGAGAGTCGAGAGAGAGATACCACCAAGAGAGACCCGACAGAGAGACTAGAAAGAGGAGAGAGAGAAAGAGAGAGACCAGACAGAGAGACTAGAAAGAGGAGAGAGAGAAAGAAAGAGACCAGAGAGAGACCAAAGAGAGACCTGACAGAGAGTCGAGAGAGAGAGACCCGACAGAGACTAGAAAGAGGAGAGAGAAAGAGAGAGCGAGAGAGACCACAGAGAGAGGGACTAGAAAGAGGAGAGAGAGAGAGCGAGACCACAGAGAGAGACCAAAGAGAGACCCGACAGAGACTAGAAAGAGGAGAGAGAGAAAGAGAGAGAGAGAGAGAGAGAGAGACCAGACAGAGAGAGTCGCGAGAAAGAGACCACAGAGAGAGACCAGAGAGAGAGACTAGAAAGAGGAGAGCGAGAGAGAGAGACCACAGAGAGAGACCCGGCAGAGAGTCGAGAGAGAGAGAAAGAGAGACTTGACAGAGAGACTAGAGAGAGATACCACCAAGAGAGACCCAACAGAGAGACTAGAAAGAGAGGGAGCGAGAGAGACCACAGAGAGAGGGACTAGAAAGAGGAGAGAGAGAGAGACCACAGAAAGAGACCAAAGAGAGACCTGACAGAGAGTCGAGAGAGAGATACCACCAAGAGAGACCCGACAGAGAGACTAGAACGAGGAGAGAGAGAAAGAGAGACCAGAGAGAGACCCGACAGAGACTAGAAAGAGGAGAGAGAAAGAGAGAGACCAGAAAGAGACCAGACAGAGAGACTAGAAAGAGGAGAGAGAGAGAGACCAACAAGAGACCCGACAGAAAGACTAGAGAGAGTCAAGAGAGAGATACCAAAAAGAGAGACCCGACAGAGAGACTAGAAAGAGTCGAGTGAGAGAGAAGAGAGACAGAGAGAGAGACAAAGACCACAGAGAGAGACCCGACAGAGAGACTAGAGAGAGACAAGATATAGACAAGAAAGAGAGTCCAGAGAGAGACCAGAGGGATCAGAGACCAGAGAGGATTCCTCATCCACAACCATCACAAAGACTCATAGATGTTAAAGGGCAACACACACTATTGAGAACTGCGGAAGAGAGATTACTGATCAGAGTTTCTGTTGTCATTGCCATATCATTAGAATAGAAAACATGTTCATTTGTCAATGTCCATTTTATTTGTGTAGCACACACACAATACCGCCAGCTTCTCAAAGTGCTTCACGTGCACCACAGAAAAAACAGAAACAGAAAAGTAAGAGCATCCTAAAGTACAGGATACAGGAGTTAAATGAAACTGATGTGGACCAACATGAATGACAACAATCTTCCTGGTTGTGTAAGCTTTCAATCACAACTAGAGAATTGGATTGTAAGAAAGGTGGAAATACGTTATCCCAGAGTCGTATGTGTGTAACCAGAGCTGCTGAATGTGTCTTATTAGTCATACTCATCATGTCAGTCTACAGTTACGAGGCTACATTAGTCCCAAAACCTCCGGATCCATAACAGTCAGAGAGGGGCTCCATCCGCTGCCGTCACATCCCACCATCACGCCACTTGTACCATGGTCACACACAACCACACAGCGTTGACAAACACAACCACTTAAAATGCATTATTAATTTGCAGTTTTTTTTCATTGGGAAAAGTCCTCAAAATGTCCCATAGATCAACAAATGTCCCATAAATCAACAAGGTCTACAACATGTATGCATCAATATGTCTCAATGAATGATCAATTAATAACAACGATAAGAGATGGGGTAGAGCCGCTGCTTGTGGTGGCTTCAGCACCTGTTTTGGGATGCCTCATGGACGACTCGGGCGTAGAAGGAAGCTGGGTGTCTCTGCTTAGACTGCTGCCCCTGCCACCCAGCAACGGTAAAAAATTAACAAAATGTATACAGGGATAAAAAAACAATTATTCCCATTATTCAAATTGACAATATACTTTTTTTTCTAAGAAATTGAGCCTTTCTTTTCTTACAGCCCAGGTTCAAGTCTTGCCCGGAAGATTATCTTTAATGGCCTCAGATATGAATTCCAATAATAATAATAATAATAATAATAATAATAATTAATTAATTACAATTTTAAATAATTATTATTATTAATAGATTCCCTGTATTCATGGGTATTATCTGGAATTGAAATACTAAATGGCCTCCAGTGTGAGATCAATAAATTCAATCCTATCTTATTTTATAAGGGGTAAATAGCCTGTATGGGATGGTCTTTTATTATTTTATTATCAAATTTTACAATTTGAAATACAAACACAATTCGTAATTGTTGAATACAAAAGCATATGTCTGAGAATTTTAACAACCTTTTACTTTTTCCAGTTTTGGTTCAAAACAGAATTTATTTTTTTTCCATGTAAGTAACAGGAAGTTACAGACTATGAAATTACTTTGGCTCTCGGTGTATGTTGAATGAAAGCCTCTGTTAACACAATTTCAAATAACACAAAATGCCAGAGATTCAAAAGACAAACTGATGGACGCTCTAAAATCATAACAATCATAGTTGTGATGTTGACAAAGTGTGTGTGTGTGTGTGTGTGTGTGTGTGTCGACCATGGTATGTGCCGGCCCATGCATCGCTGCTCCAGGACTGACTTGTGTGGTCTTTATGTCTTTATCATGAAGGTGGTAGCCAACACTCTGGCGTCCCCCCAGCACACGGGCAACTACACACACCCCCTGTCCTCACCTCCTCCTCCTCAGCACGCCCCCAACTACAGCCTGGTGTCCCCCAGCCACCTGCCCACCTATACCACCTATAAGGAGGGATACAACGTGTACGCCATTGACAGTGTGAAGATCTAAGCGGGTAGGCCTGAGCGCGCCCACGGGACGGCCCGCCAACTCTGCTAACACGAGGGCAGCAGCGAGTCTCTGAGGGGCGCAGTGGTGGAAGAGAAAGGCTACTGCAGGGGGCTTAAGGGGCACACGCTGCAACATGGTCTTTTCACAGCTTTTGTCCTTGTGTTAGTTGCTTTCCATGTCATTTTCACTCTCAAAAGTTATTTTAGAGGTACTCCAGCATGTTTGACTCCTTCAGATTCATGAGAAAAACTGTTTCTCTGACCTCCGCGACACAACCATTGTTTTTACCGTTTGATTTTGTTCGGAGTGGGCTGACCCGACCGCTGACGTCACCATTGGCCTTTATGCGGAAGAAGCCAATTAGAATATAAGCTAGCTGGAGCCAACTTCCTTAACAGCGGTACCTATGCGGCATTGCCTTCACGTCGTAACGGGGCGTGTTGCATTGAATGTATTCTTGTTCTAGCAAAAAGTAAAACTGCAGAATTACATGATCACTTATTGGCGGAAGGAGAAAACAATCAGCTGATCACTACTTTGATATGGGATGTGATGTCACGTAAAGGGGCAGAGCTCAGGGCGATACGACAGGACTGAATCAGACAAATGCCCGGCATACTTATGTAATCTGTAAAAGAAAAATAATCCAACAGTCCAAGCACATTATACAGTTGGTCACACAGCTTTGTTAACGTAATAGTTGCCGCGGTAACCAACATGATTAAAGAAGAACGAACAACACCTTAAAGAGCCTCTCTTTAAACGAGACATAACTCCTTGTTACAGTATATAGTTATAACACAAGTTGACAGCCAAAAAATGGTCAGGGGTTTCTCAACTGATTTAGACTAATTTTGGTGTTCTGAGTCCGAATATCACATGCATTTTGCTCTATCAGGTCAAATTTTTGAGATACAGCCATAGTGTTACGGATTATGTACGTCTATGGTATTATGAATTCTGCTTATCAAATTTGACGGAGTAAATAAAAACTGAATGACTTTGGATACGTTGACTTTTATTTCTTGAGGAAAACGGAAAAAACGTCAAGGGTTTCTCCGCTGATGATCCGCAGAATGTTTATTTTTTTTACGCAAAATCGATTTAAAAAAATATTTCTGTAGCAAAAAATCCTGACCTGATTGAGCAAAACCAAGGTCATTTTCGGACTCAGAGCATCAAAATTCAGCTGGAAAACCCTGGACTATTTTCAAAAAATATTTTTTGTTACCCAGTGTAATCTATGAGACCTTATAAGTACAAATACTAAGTTAACTATCCGTGGATTTTATATATTTTTGATCAAGAAGAGCCAGAGAAGAGAAATGACATCTGAGTTTGAATATGAATGACCTGAGTGTGCAAATGACAAGGGAAAAATACAGTTTGAAAGCTGTGAAAAGTTGATTTGACATGCTCTGTCCACTTTAAGTACAGTCCAGACGCCTGTGCGGGCTTTGGTTCTCTGCAAAAGGGATTGATTTAGACTGTTTCTTTTAAGCAATCCAGTGTGGTGTTTCCTTGTGCCTTGACATGTTTCGCATGTTTCTATAGTAGAGTCACAAGATACAAGTATGGGGCTGTTACAGCAGCATGACAGTGTTCCAACAGGCCTTTTTATTCTGGTTCTCGATTCTGCTTTTCCCAAAAACTCCTCAGACCACTCTTGTCTCAGTATACATGCAGACTCGGACCACTCTAGTCTCAGTATACATGCAGACTCAGACCACTCTAGTCTCAGTATACATGCAGACTCAGACCACTCTAGTCTCAGTATACAGTACATGCAGACTCAGACCACTCTAGTCTCAGTATACATGCAGACTTGGGCCACTCTTGTCTCAGTATAGATGAGGCCCAGACTATTGAGAGGGATTTCAAAGACCTGTTGTTTCCACTGTCAGTGTTTATCCCAATTCCTCAGTGAAAAAATATATTTAAAGTCAGTCCTCAATTGTTTTTACTTCTAGATTCTTGATATGGGTATTCGCCCCCTTGGATATATTACCATCTGACCTTGAATACTTTCCTGTTTTGAAGACAATTCTGACTCATGAATTCTCCTTTTTTGAGCTAGATCCACTTCTGAAACCCGAAACATATCATGGTTGGAGAAAACAATTACTTACTTATAAACCTCAGTTGACAATAATAGAAGCAAATTTCAGCACTTGGATAATCTTGAATAGTTGAGAATTTACAGTTTATTATATTAAATGATTGATTGCATGTTTAGAAGCGAAAAGAGTGAGATTGGAGAGTGATGCTGCTACTGGATGTCATCTGTGATCACTCATCCAGAAACTAACCACCCATCACCCATCCAGCCAAGCCCCAGATAAATCCTTGTCAACCCCCACCCACACCTTATACAACTCCTGCTGCTGCTGCTACTTCTATTACTACTGCTAAAACTGCTTTTGCTTCTGTTCTCACTACTACTGCAACTAATACTCTAATTACAACATACTCAATTCTAACTAGTTCTGTCCTTCCAATTTGATACTCATTACAACATTAAGAAGACAAAAGGATGGACTTTGAGGGTCAATTGTTTTTGTTAAAAGCTGAAAGTGGCCTTACGATAAAGTACATCCCCAATGTCTGCAGCATCTTCAACGCAAAGATCTCCCTGGGCCCACTGTCTATGCAGCTTCAAAATACCCAATCAACTTGGGGTTGGGAAAGTAAAGATCATTTTTGTTCCCAATATATCCCCCATAGGTAACAAGTGCTCTGTGGGATAGTAGTGATTACAGACCTGGTTAGCCTCAATGGAGACTTCTGGAACCAGTTGGCAGGACATCATTCCACAGCATATGTATTGGTTTAACTTTTTTTTACAGGACAAGCATCATCATATTCACTGTTTTGTACACTCACAACAAACCATTTTCATGACAGCACAAAAACACATTGGCCATCCCCACCCTCACCCTTCTCTCAAGGGAAACTTTATTCTTGTTCCATCTTTTGCAGATGAAGTTCACTGACGCCATGCGCTCCAAAGCCCGCCTGTCCATCACGGGCTCCACCGGTGAGAACGGCCGCGTCCCTGTGCCCTACCTGCGGCCCGGACTACCCATGAGCCTCAGCATGACGCACCTGTCCTGACCCCGCCCCCCGTGCAGTGCCTTAAGCCCCGCCCCTTGTCAGACACCTGTCGAAGCCACACGCCGCCCCAGGATACCATCGACCCCCAATCAAGCACAGGACGCCTTTTCTACGCCTGCCCACAAGGACAAGTCCTGGGGCCGCACTTGTACAGAATAGAAGACACTCCCCAGGTGTTGATGCAATAACTCTGTGTGTCAGGGACCAGCGCACAGGACGCACCTCCACACACTCTTTGAAATGACATTTGTCATTGTATCATTGTATCATTCTTTTCCTTCCTATATTCTGCCCGAAATGCAGTTGTAGTCGGTGTTTTTGTTTCTTCATTCAGAGATGCAGAGACTGGGCAAAAGCAACTGTCTTAAAGCTGTTATGCTCAAGACTGCACCTGGATCAGTTTGATATTCTAAAAGAGGAGCGCAGTTTACAGATGACACAGATGGCGGGCATTGGGTGACACGAACAAAAGCCGGCTCCTGCTCCCTCTCCCACTCTTTTCTGGTTTATTGTGACGTTTTGCCCCTCTTACCTCATTGGCTTCAAGGCGGGGCGTATACATGAATGAAAACTATATTGTTGTGAAAATATAGTCACTGTCATACACACTTTAGTATAGCATGAGTTTACAGAACGCGGTGCGATTTGCGTGCTCTCTCTAAAGTCCCATTTAGGTGACGTTTATCTGCACACCAGTGTAGGCAGCACTACAGAAATTAAAAGTAAATCCATAGAAATAAAAAACTGCGGAGCAACTACAGGCAACATGATAGATCACCTGCAGCAAGTCCTAGAGGAAGACAACGGCCCCTCGCACTGAAGACGATGCTATCAATTATACATTTTTGTGAACATATACATTCACAATCAGAGTTAGGGCTAGGCTTTGGAACATTTCATTTGCTAAAGGACAAAAGTATGCTAATCAGTCACCAATGCTTTTCTCTCGTGTCACCGAGCGTTCCCATGTCAGTGCTAGTGCCAAACAGTTCTCAGCACCGGCCACGAGCTGAGCCGAGCCACAGCTCCATTCAGATACTGTGAATACTCATGTTTATATAGGCCACAGGCTTGGACCAGTGCTTCTCAAAATGTAGTACAAACCCACTGATATTCAAGATTTTTTAAATGCTGCTTCAAGGATTATTGGACTTTTAATATACAGACACATTACTCATAACAGAAAAGCAGTTCATTGACTAACCATTGAAAGCGACATTGTTTTTGCTGTTCTTTAGCAAGAGATAGGAGATACGTGGTAGGTGAAACACATATGATTTTCATTACTTTTACAAGGACAATAACTGTACATAAAAGATTGACTTTACATATTGGCATACTTTTGGTTTAAATTTGTTTAAAGGACAGATTAGTTTAAGAGTTTTTGACAACTTTCAGAAACCAACAGGTCCTGGTTCGAAGAGAATTCATGTTTTTCCAGCAAAAGGTGTTTTTAATACATAGACATAAAGGAAAAGGACCTGTACGTGATTTTAAGAATCTTTAATTCTATTCAAAATCTTAATTTCACAGTGATACGTTTTTAGGAATTCAGAAGGAACTTGGTGCTGGTTTCTCCAAGTTGGAAGTGCAGTCCATTTGATAATTCGTAAAAACAGTCTATACGGATAAGTTAATAGGTCTGACGTGTTCCGGACCCCACAGTGAAGTTGCTCAAGTTGTAAATACAATTGCTATAACAAGCATATAACAAGTACCATGTGACCACCATACATTCTGTTTACTGTACATTTGATTGTCACACACACTCAGCTGCTGCAGCATACTTCGTTGCGTTTCCTCTGCGCCTTGATTCCTAATCCTGTTATGTTTCATTTTGTTTAACACAAATAAAAAACAATAAAATATGTGCAGCGAGGGATTGTGTTGAAACCAAACAACATAAGTGAGTGAGCTATACCCGTGCCATTTACGAATATTTCTAATACAAACCTGGCTTTTTCTCTCATTCCACGACGTTCACATAGCACCACTGCACTAGAAACCAGCACTCACAGCACAAATAGACTGCTTTTTTACGCCTCAATTGACATGAGCAATTTTTTTTCAACCGGATTGAAGGAGTAGGTGGATGAATCACTCACAGTAAGGGATCCAATCAGCGTAAACTCCGCATTAATCCAGGCGTAATGCCCGGGTTAATGTAGTATGTAGTTTTGCAACATACTTCATTTTTGATTGATTTTTTTTCTTGCATTGATGTTAGCAGTGAATAAATGTTATATTAGCAACATTAGCATAGCAGCGCATATCTAACTGCAAAGGTTAAACTGCAGCCGAGAGAAAAATAACTCAAGAAACAACAATGTTTAACTGTTGGATCTTTCACTTCGTCCAAACACAATCAAACAACATTTCTAAGAATGTAAAAGTTGGAAATCTGTATTAGAAGGTTGTTTTATTTTTAAATTACAATTTTTAACTCGGAAATTGCAACAAATAAAACGCAATATTAGCTCAAGTTAGCCACATTAGCTTGGGTTAGCTACATAACATTGAACTTTAAGAATCTGAGTTTGTACAACATGTATGCGCTGGGACATCATTGGAACACATTCGGTCACAAGCTCCTAAAACCAACGCCTTTTGAGGTTGCGTGACACATTTGAAAATCACTGGCTCAAGTTATAATTTGTTGAAGATAATAGTAGTAGCTTTTGAAAGGCCTAATCTGGTCCTTGTGTGTTTATGGTGCTGCCAATATAGCAGCAGCATATGCCAAAAGATTCTGTAAATTGATATTGTTCTTATGATTTTAGACACTATTATAGAGAGACTTGGCGTCCTCACATAGCCTCGTAAGTTAGATAAGAGACATTTGGGACATTTCGAGGACTACTCTCTTCATCAGACTGTGAGATGTCCATATATGACATTTGTTTTCTTTCTCAATGCTTTCAAATATTAACTTTTTAAATGGTGCCAATGTATTACAGATTTTTATATACAGTATATTTACTTATCATGCTTAATGCCATGTGAAATTTAATGTGATCAAAGTACGAGTGCGCTAAAAGCTCAGACTGCGAAGCTTGACGAAGGCAGACCGGACAGCGATTCGCCGCCTCCACTGAGTTTTCTGGATGGACTTTTAATGCCGCCCCCTGTTGGGTTCTTTTGCGGCGGCGGTTGTGCCGGTCTGAGCGTGGCCAAGGCACACGCGCTGGATTCGGAAAATGCATGTGTTGAGTTCTCACCGCTGTTATATTTAGCAGCCTCTTCCACTGTAACTTGTTCATGTGTTTGAGTTTTCTTCAGACAGGCACAAGTCGCAGTGCCCTGTACCGCCATGAGTGTGAATAAATAATGTGAGAATGGACTGTGTGGACTCGTCTGTCAGAAAATATACATGTTTAACGGAGGCATGCATTGACAGCCAGGAAGTATTTCTCTGGTCTCGCTGAAGCTCAGGTCCCAACTCATCCATCCATCTGGGTCGGGGGGTGGCAGCAAATGAATGGTTTGTGCTCAGTGGCACATTGTGCCGGCATGGTCGCTGAAAGATTAGCGGAAGTCGCCTGGTCCTGGGTTCGAATCCCGGTCGGACCAGGGCCTTTTTGAGTGGAGTTCTCCCTGTGTCTGCAGAGGTTTCCTCCGAGTACTCCGGTTTCCCCTACCACTAAATATATGTACAATAGGTCTGGCACGCGCCTTCTGTACTGGCGACCCCGCTCCCATCTCTGTGTGGAGTGAGAGACAAATACCCAAAAAATAACAATTGTAAACCGCTTTGTGACTCTGGTCTGTGAAAGGCGGTATATAAATAAACATTACTTACTTACTCTCGCAAATTTCCATGGGAAACGCGCCTTATTTTGGGCATCATCCCGGTTCTGCGCAGTGGATTATCTCCCATGATGCGTTTCGCCAAATACACGTTTGTGGTTCTCATGCACGTGCACAGAGGGGCTCGGCCGCGCTCTGACCAATCAGAGCTGCTGATCAGACGGACAGAGTTTGTGGCACTAAAGTGTGGATTTAAAGAAAACTGAAGGATTTAAGAAGAAAAGAAGTTCAGGATGACAAGGGACACTAAAATCCCCACAAAATCAGATCTTTATTAAAGCTGCAGGTTCTCTGTCAGCTGAGGTTGAGCTGTTTTAATTTACATTGAGTTCTATGGGGAAAATTTCTGGGTAGCCCTCGTGATAATGGTCTGGTTCAGTCTGCAGTACCGCGAGAATCCCCCGAGCACATGGGTTCTTCAGCTCCAAGCTAGTAACACCCTATCCAGTTATTATAATAGATCCATGGGTGGCAGTCAGAGCTGCACCCAGTACACAGAGCACCAGCCCCTCACTGATCCTCCAGCAGGTGGTGAGTCCACATGAGCCTAGATTATTCAGCAGGGGCTTCAGGCAAAGTTGGGTTAAGTGTCTTGCCCAAGGACACAACGGCAGCAGTCATCAGTGGGAGTCGTGAAGTAGGTCTTGTGGTGGGCTCGAACCCACGACCTTCAGGCTCTAAGGCCAATGCTCTACCAACTGAGGGTCCCAACCGGTGGAACCTTTGGGAGCTAACTATTTTATTTGCAGTTATTGAATACATTGCTGTCTAATATGTGTTCGGATATATATATATTTTTTTTAATTTTAGAATTATATTTGAATTTCTAAGCCGAAGCCCTAGTTTTTAGCAGCGCTGTAGAGGCTAGAGGACACAGGCTGTTCGCTGCTCGTTCTGTGAGTGGAGGAGAACGAGCGGCCCGCTCAGACTCTACTCAGCACTTTTCACTGCTTGTAATTCTTACACAGCTGAATCAATGACCTCAAGTTTTCAATTAAATTACGTATTATAATACAACTTGTATGTAGTAATAAGCATTTTTATCAACTACTTAGAAAAAAAATCGGGTATAGCTTCTTTAACCTGAAGATTTGAGGAAATGGGAGGAGTCTGCTTTGCTCCCGCTGGGTCTGATAGAAAACCTGAAGCCACAGTGGCCCTTTCTGGACGGGTTTGGACACCTCTGACCTAAACGCAGTGTGTGTGAGTGACTGGACATCAACTGTGGTCCGAGTCAGAAGAGGTCAAAGTCATTATTACGACTCTGAAATGACACCACTGACAGTTGATTTGATCTGACTTTATTGTTCGTAAAAGTGGTACAATCAACGCCAGAATTTTTTCTGCCGTAAATAAATACTGATCTTACACTGTATGTTATTTCTAGATGTTTTGCTTCTGAGAAACAGAGCCAGTAACCACTAAATATTAAAGGCCTATACTAATATATTTATAAATATAGATTTTTCTTTTAACAATTTGCAGTAGTCTGACCTAAGCCTGTTGCCAATTTCTCACATCCCTCAGATCAAAAAGGTACAACAATGAGTTTAAAAGTGCTTTTCACAACTCGCATAAATCTAGATACCTTAGAAATGCACTTTCTGTTTCATGTACAATAAATATTCAGTATTAAGATGCTCACTAAAAGAAGTCCAGAGTTACTTTTATAACATACATCTGTTATATTGAAATGCTAAATTTAAGGAGAGAACTGGTAGAAACTTTAGAGAATACATCAACAGAATTTGTTCATCCAGCACCAGCAGTTCCCCGTCTGCAACATAAACCATGTAAAATACAATATGTTAGCTCCACAGGAGAGTGAGAGCCACGTGCCCAGTCTGGGACCAGTGGGCATTCAGAGCAGGACACACTTCTTTCCCTTGGCCCGAGCTGGAGGGGGACAGAGCACAGCACGGATGGCCTCGTCGAATACTGTCTTCAGACCACGCTGAGTCAGAGCAGAGCACTCCAGGTACTTCACTGAGTCTGTAGACAAAAACAAGGACCACCGCAAATGAACACACGAGGACAACGCTTTTAGTGCCCTTTGAAAGTGTAAGTGCAGCTTGAACATTTGTACATATGAAAAGACCACAGAGAGAAGTGAAGTGACAGCAAAATGATGCATGATTATGTTATTTTCTAAAAAAACATAGTTCTTTGAGTGGATATTGTTTGGATATTTTCTTTTGACTCCGGAGTGCTCACATCTTTCCCTAGCAATGAGTTAAAGCCCACTTGTTTGTTATGTACCCTGTTCTGTGAGGGCCTCATGGCTATGCTTAGAATGTAATGCATTGGTCACTAAGCACCATTGTTAAGGCCAAGAAGCACACCAGAGGTCAGAGATGAAGTTGTGGGGAAGGAGTGCACCTTCTCCACACATTTGTTAGGTAAACATTTCCAATGCTTAGAACTTCTCATTTGATTATCTGAGAAATGAATATAGCACAACTGCAAATCTACCAAGACTCTGCTGTCTGCCCACACTCACAGCTACAAACACAGACACAAGGTCATTGCTTACTCTAGAGGATTTACAGACATCCACAGCCCCATGTACAGCTCGTATCTGTAAATGGGGCAAATATTAGTCACAGAATTGACTTTATGGATGAGTGGTGAGTAAGAACTTTTAATATAAAGCCACAAAAAGCAAAAAGTAGGGACACATTAAATCGGTCCGCAGCTTGAATATCCTGCTCAGTGCGGCCTTGGTCCTCATTTTGTCACCTGAATTCTGGATCTATAGCCCGTCCAGCTATTGGTGTTTTCTATCATTCCAGTTCTTGTGTTTGTGTCTTGTCAAATCAAAAATGTTTGGCTCAAAACTAACACTTCTCATAATCCTCAGTGCACCATTCCCAGAATCAAGTATGGGGGGGAGGGCAGCATCATGTTATATGACTGCTTATATCTTCAGCTGGGACAGAGAAGAGCGACAGATTTAATGTGAAGGTGGAAAGAGCAAGAAACAGGACAATCTTTAAGAAAAGCTGCTGGAGGCAGCAGAAGACTCAAGGCTGGGGTTGATATTGACCTTTCATCATGGCTATTTCCCTGAACATAAATACTTTCCGTACAAAAGAATAGAATAAGTCCAGACCTAATAGTGATAATCTCAACAACAACAACAAAAAACTGCTATTCACAAACCCTCTCTAAAAATCTAATTTCAAATCATTATCTTTGTGGTAGCATCATGACAATATGATCAAAGGTTCCAGCTGTATGAACACTTTCCCAGGGCACAGTAGACAACAAAACAGAGGTCTGACCGATCTCCTTGGCCAGAGCCAGGCCTTGAGGGTAAGTCATGGGGGACAGTTTCTTCTCCTTGAGCTTCTCGATGGTGTCCTTTTCATCCCTCAGATCCAGTTTTGTCCCCACCAGGATGATGGGAGTGGAGGGGCAGTGGTGACGCACCTCCGGGTACCACTAGGACATCGGGACACAAGGGTGAGATACAACAGGACATGAGATGTGCCCTCTGTTGGACATGTGTCTCTGGGGTGAACCAACCTTAGCTCTGACGTTCTCGTAGGAGGCGGGGCTCACCAGCGAAAAGCAAATCAGGAAGACATCCTGCGGAACAGACATGGATTTATCACTGTGACTGGCTCGAGTATTACTATAGCTTTAGGTTACAGTGCAGAGGCCACCCACAGCACTGCAACATACATTCTTAAGAGCTGATACAAAAAATTCAAAATGTTTACAAAACAGCTTTCGCAAAAGTTGTATTTATTGATTATATGTTCAATTAGCTGGGACAGTGCATACAGATAGGGCGACAGTGCGAGTTAGTAGTAGGGTTTAATATTTTTCCGGAAAATGAGATGTATCAAATCCCTGGAAAAGATTACAACTACGTTGTTTTTAGCCCAAGTAATGTATGGTATCACTCAAATATGTATAATATTAAATGTAAATCCATCAAAAGCTGCCATCTCCGCTAGTGTTTCACCAGGCGACTTGCTAGCTTTTCTAAAGTAGCCATAGCGTTTTCAGATGTTTTGTTGATGGGCTTTCTTCAGGAATTTCACTATTATGAGATTCTAAATGTCTGCGCAATCCACTTGTCGACCAGTGACGTGCGGTGTGGTTTGGAGGCACTGACTTCAGCCCAATCAGATGAACATATATATCATATAAATCAACAGGACCTACAGAGCGGCTTATTCACAATTATTTTGGCTACAGCAGAATGTTTTCCATGGCCCGCATTGTTTGCTCATACAAAACGCAAAAGTTCGAAAAAAGCACATTTCCAATTGTGTTATGGGTCTTACCTTAGTTATTAATGAACAGCACAGACCACTTTGGTTCAGACCAGTTTCATGTTAAAGTCCAGATAATAGTTTGAGCGTAGATATGTAATCCTCCATTTGGAAATGACTCCAATGACTTTTAAAAAGTAAAACAAAACGCATAAACTGTGTCCTTGGGCAAGACACTAAATCCCACTTTGCCTGAAGCCCCCACTTAAAGATCAAGGCTATATGCTTACACAGATAGGGCAGGAGGATCAGTGAGGGGCTGATGAATTGGGTGCAGATATGACTGCCACCCTTCTGACCCAGAAATAGATTAAGAGGAAGAAGATGGATGGATGTATGGATGGAGTGCATACTAGTAAACACAGGAACATTAATTCTCCCGCAGTCCCTCTCACATACACACCCTGATTCTGTGTGTATTTTTGATCATAAACCTTTTTCTTTCTCTCTATAAATCAAAATTGTGCATCACATTTGTCTGGCTTGATCTGAAGAGTCATGGGGACGTAGCTCTACTGCACATGTGCTTCTAGCCATGGAAATAGCTGGCATTCTACATCCTACTAGTCCTTGAGGCTCAGCACACAATAGCCGACTTTGAGCAAGCGCCAGTGAGCACAGGTTATTGTTTTGAATGGGCAGACATCTTGGTACCCCGAGACTTGGGGACAGACCATCCATCGGTGGAGCTGAGAGACTGTATGAGACCTTGTATGAGAGGTAAACAAGGCCAGTTACACTACCTATAGATTGATGTTTGTGGAACTGAAATGAGAGTTGAAGTTGTTCACATCCAGGCTAGAGTTGTGGATTAAAACAAACCAAAGATGTATCCATTTGTAAGTGTGCTCGCTCCAGTTTGTGAGTAACAGACAAGACTGAGCACTTCATTGTTGGCTTTAAGTCTGACAATCCACAGAAGATGAATCTATCATGGCCTGCATGAGCTGTGAGTGGATGTGAGGTTACCGTCTGGGGGTAGGACAGGGGGCGGAGCCTGTCGTAGTCCTCCTGTCCCGCAGTATCCCATAGGCCCAGGTTCACCGGCTTACTATCCACCATCACATTAGCAGAGTAGTTATCAAACCTGGAAACAAGGACACAAGAGGGTCGGACAGGGGAGAGCATGGCCATATGTACAATTTTAATAGTTGGATTCTGTTGGAAGCGCAGATTTAACATTTCTTTTGATTTTTTTTGTTACACGCTAATGTCAGGCCTGTCCCTTTGCAGATACTGTATGTATACAACTACAGATGTCATAAAGTTTCCTTACTGGGTTTGAATCTGAATATTGAATGTTTGGAAGCAAAGCTAATTTCAGTTTGCTGAACATTAAAGCTTAGTCGAGAGTTTTAAAACATTATACATTTTAAATAGTAAATCCACACCTCAGGTTGCAAATGTAAAAGGTATGTTAGTACTTTCAAAAGGCTCTGTATGTTCTACTGAAGAATGGGGCTGTTGGTTTGGTCCATTAAGCAGTCGATGATTGATTTACCTATTTTTGTTGAAATTACAAAATGCATTGCAAAATTCATAATTACATGTTTTAAGTACTTTGATAGTCAAACCAGATTTTAAAAAATCTATTCAATTTTTTTCTGATGTCATGCCTACATTAGTGAGTACAGTTTAAGTAAGATAATTAAAAGGTAGCTTGAAGTAACATTTACTAACTTTTTCCACGCCCCTTTTTTAGTGGACAACATTAGAAATGATTTAACTTTCCAAAAGCTGAAATAGCGGTCACTCACACTGTGGGGATGTACTCTCCAGGAAAGGCATTGGTGGTGTAGCTGATGAGGAGGCAGGTCTTCCCCACGGCTCTGCACACAAAAGAGGTTTTACAGATTATTTTGGGATAGAGTGAGAAGTGAATTAGCCCAGATGATCAAACAGTCCTTTTACCTGCAAAGTGGGTCATTTAATACTGCAACAACCAAAGTCATAGTCATGTAAGCCTTAGGAACCTGTTGTTTAGACCCAGCTTGAAATGCTGTGTCGACCCGGGTCAGCAATGGGAAAGATAGTCGAGTTGTTTGAACCAGCAGAGCTTCATACCACAGGGAAGACAGGAATGTGCCAAAATAAAGAGTCAAACTTCCCACTTTCAAAATAAGTCTTCCAAAGCCACAACGCAACTCCCCAGGTCTAGAGAGAATCACTGACAAGTTTATCATCCATGTGGAGCAATATGAAAATACTCAAACATATTTTCTGTACAAGAACAACTTTACAAAATACAGAGCAGCGGGTGTCACTGTCCAAACTTTGGTGGTTAGAGCTTCACTCTTGTAACACGACATAGTATCTTGAGTATCCTGCATGTAAGCTGCAGCCTATGCTTTGATTTCATTACCGAATTACTGCCGCTACATTTGGTTGGAATGTTCACACTGAGCACGCTCCAGCAAAAACACTACCTCTCAAGGCAAGGTAAAAGGCGAGTCGTTTCAACCCACAATCCTGTGTTGCTCAGTTAGAAATGTAGAGGTAACCCAGGGTTTTTAAGTCTGTAAACCTGTGTCTAAGCTTCGTTGGTATGTCCTCATAGAGAAGCACGATCTCTTCTAAAAGCGATTGAAGGCAAATTAACTATTGCATTGACAGGAGCAGAGCGTGTGCTTTATGTGGCCTCGGGCGACGCACAACATCAGAATGTTCTATTAAGTCAAGACACAACACGCAAAAGCATTTTTCTATTCAATGTGCTTTTAAAGGACAAGATAAAAGCATGAGATGAAAAACTGACCTTTCCATTGTCATGTACACACAGTTGTTTTTGAGCTTGTTTAATTTTCATGTCTTTATTTTAAATACTATTGTGATGTCAATCCTCAAAATTCAGCATGTACATAGAGGAAAAAAATCCTATTGGAACATTATCAAACAGAATGCATCAATATTATATGTCCGTTAGAATTATAAGAGCTTATGTATTATTTATTTCAGGGGTCCCACACTTTATCAAACCAGGATCTACTTTTACAGCAACCTTTAAGCCGGGATCAACCTCAGATCAAGAGTGTTAGTATTCAGAACCTCACCACTGGTTTGATTCGAAATGTAGATGTGGTTCATGTTGTCTTAATAAATAAATAATAAAATGATAGCAGCTCTCATTGCCACCCCCCTGACCCAGAAATGGACAATAAAGGGCTTGAAAATGAATGAATAAATAAAATGACACATACATACTGTAGGCCATGAAATCTACAGTATGTTCTTGTGTAGTGTTTTCATATTGTAAATGTCTTTTATAACCGCTTAGTACGCATAATATTCATCAGAAACGCTCACACCTCGTTAACTACTGTCTACTTTGACCATGCACTCGCTCCTGGGCTCTTTCTGTATCTTCTTTTGAGGATGCTGATGCGCTGTCGTTGAGCAGAAGTCAGGCTTGCAGACGTGGTATGACCAAGCCCCGGTGATCCAAGATGGCGCCCTATTCAAATGAATGGCTTGTGCTCAGTTGTGCATGGGACTTCATGGGCGCTGACATATCAGAGGAACTCGGTTATATTTCGGCATCGTCTGGTCCTCCCGGTTCTGCCCAGTGGATTATCTCCCATGATGCGTTGCGCCAAATACGCGTGTGTGGGTCTCATGCACGCGCACAGAGGGGCTCGGCCGCGCTCTGACCAATCAGAGCTGCTCATCAGAACAACGGGAGAGCGGTGCCAGAGCGGGACGGAAGCAAGCAGAGTTTGTGGCACTAAAGTGTGGATTTAAAGAAAACCGAAGGATTTAAGAAGAAAAAAAGTTCAAGATGACAAGGGGCACTAAAATCCCCACAAAATCCGACCTTTATGAAAGCTGTAGGTTCTCTGTCAGCTGAGGTCGCGCTGTTTTAATTCACATTGAGTTCTATGGGACTTTTTTCTGGGTAGCCCTTGTGAATCGAGTCTGCAGTACCACGGGCGCCCCCTGTGCCCATGGGTGGGACAGCTATAAGCTAGTAATACCCTATCCAGTTATTATTATAGATCCATGGGTATGACCGGCGTCAAGGATCGAGCGTACAAGCTCAATGCACCGCTTACTGTATGTGTGTGGGGCGCTTGCGGGGCACGGTTGGTGGCGTGGGAGAGCCTCAATGTCTGTAGACTTGATCTGCTTCCTCTGACACAGTCCCCCCTCTATGATCTGCGGTGTTGGAAAGTTACATCTCTAACGCTCGCTCAGCTGCTTCCTTCACCTTCACGTTGTTTATGGAGCGGGAACAGTTCACTGCAGGAGTGAGTCCCAGCAGATGGAATATGAGCAGGAGCAGGCCACGGATGTTTGACACAAAGAAGCACAACAATAAAAGAGAAGCACTAAAGTACTGAGGTCAGAAAGGCTTTACTGAACAGTTTTAACATTTGTGGAGTTAAAGCTTTCTCTTAACTTTCCTGACTTTTCAAACGCTACTTTGTTTAATTATTATTGAATTGATCTGATTGAATTGAATCTCATTTGTGAAAAGAGTGTGTCGAAACATACTGTAGGCCCTTGTACAACACAATACTACAGTGTGGCAGAAACGTGTTTAGTTAGCCACAATTGTGCTGGTCCTAAAAATATGAGACGCTTGTAATTTTCATCATAGGTTTGCCTCAACTATGAGAGACAAAATGAGAAAAATAAGTTAGCTTGATGGTGTCCACCCCATGCTTCACAGCAGATGCAGTTGCAGACAGGTCTTTCAGCATGACATGATCACAAACACACCTCAACCTAGTCAGTCTCCAAATCTCAAACCAATAGAAAATCTTTGGAGGGAGTTGAAAGTCCGTGTTTCCCAGCACCTTAACATCCTTGCTCTAGAGGAAATTTGCATGGGCCAAAATACCAGCAACAGTGTGAAAACCTTGTGAAAACTAAATAATTATTATATACTATCCTTTGCAAATAATTTGTTTAAAACTGAGACAATGTGATTTTCTGGACTTTTTTTCTAATTTTGTCTCAGTTGAGGTAAACCTAAGATGAAAATTATAGGACTCATTTTTTTAAGTGGGTGGACATGCACAATTTGTGACTGATTGATGACTTTTTTGTATCTCGGCTATGGCTATAAAACTATTGTTTCCAAGCTCTGGATCCCCAAGAGGTCTGCCATGGCCTGTTCTTTTGGGCGCATCCTCGCACCTTGGACCTCGCTCACATGCTCATGCACAGAGGGGCATGTGAGCGTTCTGACCAATCAGATCCTGGGTTCGAATCCTGGTCGGAAATGGGTCTTTCTGAGTGGAGTTGTCACATTTCCTCCAGGTGCTCTGGCTTCCCCTACCACTAAAGATTAGTTAAAATCCTCTCTGGTCCTGACCAAGCCAAGCATCAACATCTGGAGATGGGTTCCCGGGCGCTGTACTACCTCGACCACTGCTCCTGACGGAAGCCTTAGTGGCATCAGGATGGGTCAAATGCAGAGGATGCAGAGGAATTTCCCCACAGGGTTAAATAAAGAGCACCTTAACCTTTACCACAAAATGTGCCTCCTAACATTCTGATCTGGCCCTCAGCCCTCAGCCCGTGTTCACTGGAAAAAATATATCAAATATATCTAAAAAACTGCATTGTGGCTCAAAATAAATGTGTTTTTGTTAATATTCAAGAGGTATAAAACTTACGTTGTTTTTTAAACTATCGTTGTGCTCTCGCTGTCAAAATGGCAGAACGTGGATATATCTTTTATGAGCAGAGGAACATAGTAGTGAGGCTGAGGAGTAAAAACACATTCATACTTCAACATAAATCAGTACAAATGAACGTTTGGCTCAGTAAGTCAAATCAGAAAAATATGTGTTGATATAAATGAATTTGAACATATTTTGATTACATGATTATGATTATGTTGATGGACACAGGTTTATGTGTACGAGTTAGTCTGCTATAGAAGAATTAATATATTTGCCGGTTTCAAATTTCAGGTCAGTGTTGTGCATGTGTCCCCAAAAGGTCCCTTGTTTCATTGGATAGTAGTGGCCCCAGAGCAGGTGGGACATCGTATGTGAGAATAGAATAATGGGAATTGCAACTAATAAAGTAACAGAATCTGAAAAAGCTTCCAACAGTGCAAATTGAGGAGTGCCTTATCTCTGACACAGAATTTGAACAGGAAGTCAACGAGCCTACATCATATTTGTCATAGAATTAAAAAAAAAAAGTCAAATATTGAGCATAATAATGAAGGAGAACAATACTAAAGACATACAATAAGCAGGAGAGCTCATTTTAAGTGCAAGTTTGATTCTTCTGATTTTGAGACTGTAAACATGTCCCGAAGCTACATTTTAACACACTCACACACACACACACACACACACACACACAGACCGCACACTTCCTGCCGCTGCTGACACAAACTTCTGCATTTACGCTTCCTCTTGGACCAGATGTGTTTCTTTGTCATCCCCCATAAATATACATATACATATCAGTACATCCACATAATTTCACATTTTTCCTCGTCTTCATCCCCACCAACGCGCCTCTGCAAACATGTCGGCTCTTGAGTGTATTTGAGAGCGTGTCGCAGCCTGCTCTGGCCTCACGCTGGAGGTATTTCGCACGTCACTTTCACTCAACTTAGATATCAACTCATACATCACAAAAGATTGGTCCACTTTGACTTTTTTTTTTTTTTATTGTAGAGTAAAGAGCACTCACCCATCGCCCACAACCACACACTTGATGGCCTGCATGCTGCTGCTGCTTCTGAAGGCGCGTGCTGGGTGCTGGTGCTGGGTGCTGGGTGCTGGGTGCAAGGCGGGGGCTCTTGACTGGCCCCTCCTTCACACCACACGCATCTCTTCCTGATTCTTGCACTTGTTCCTCTTTGACACTTGAGGACTGGAGTTTGTCTTCCAAAATCTTCAGTGTGTGTTTTGCACTGTGTGAAAAGCCAGGTGTCTGCACTGGCTTCCTGTGGCGCAGAGAATGGACTGAAGAAAAGATGAGAGATGGTTTATTCGTCCCACAGTGGGGAAATTTCAATGTTGCAGCGCACATACAGGACAATAGTAAGAGCACAAAGTGAGCACAAAAGATACAGTATACAAGAAAAGTAGTAGCTATGTTTCCTAGCTAGCTGAAGATGCTGTGAATGCTTCAATGCCAGTCTTTCAAAAAATATATATACTGTATATGTAGTGCCACTAGTGCGTGAGTTACTATACTGTACATATAGGGCCGGATACAAAGTGACTTTGTTCAGTGGACGTTCTGAAGTTGCAGTATTGCACATTGCACATGATTTTAGTATTTACTTATTTACAAATGAATGACATTTACAGGCTCAGAAGTTCTCATTGTACAGGCTGACAGCAGCAGGAAGGAAAGACCTACGGAACCTCTCCTTCACACAGCGAGGGTGAATTAGTCTGTCACTGAAGCTGCTCTATTTGTGCATAAGTCTTGTTAGTGCCAAATGAAGCAACTCTAAGGAGCACAGGGACTGGCCTCCTGCTGGGACTCTGAGAAGCACAGGGACTGGCCTCCTGCTGGGACTCTGAGAAGCACAGGGACTGGCCTCCTGCTGGGACTCTGAGAAGCATAGGTACTGGCCTCCTGCTGGGACTCTGAGAAGCACAGGGACTGGCCTCCTGGTGCCCAGAGTCAAAACTAAACATGATTTACGCAGCTTTATACAGCTAAAGTCTTCCTGAAAATGTGAGACAGATTCTTTCCTGACAATGTTCAAAATCCAGGTTAAAAACACTCATTTTTGGCTGTGTATACAACTGAGGGATTTTATCTTTAGTCTTTTGTAATAATGTTGTTTCTTCTTTCTTTGGTTCAGCACTTTGAGTGTCCTTGTGTATGAGCTGTTGACAGTAGTTTTGACCTTAAAATGACCAAGTTTAATGAATATAACGCATGGTTAGGTAACTATGCCAAGAGGTCACTGGGTTACGTGGCCATGTTTGTAAAATGTGCTCAGGCTGTAGGAGCAATTTTTGGGCCGTCAGCGAAGTTTCGAGTGGCAAAAGCTTTTAGGCTAACTTAAACACAGTGTCAACAAGAGAATGGTCATATGGAATCTGTGAAGTGATAATAATACGGATGATGAACAGCCTTTGACAAGATATGAGCTTCAGAGGCTGCACAGCTTCAGGGCCAGGGAAGCTTTTCTTCTGCACATGAGCGTTGCAGGTTTTCACTGTGTCAACTTGAATTTTGAACTAACCTTTGTATGATTTTGTGTGATTTAGTCCAGGCAAACTGTAGCTTGAACCAGCTTTAACAACTGTGCTTTACAAATAAACGTGCCTTGCCTAATATGATCAGGACTACCTGGTATCAATGGACCATGTTAACTCACTTTTTAGTTTTGAAATGTAGATGAAAATATGGCTTTTTGTACAATTTATTTATCCCTGTTGGGCATTTTTTTCTTCTGCATTTGACCTATTCTGTAATACCATTATAGGGCCTCTGACTCTGTACATGTTTTTAGAGGTAGAGGAAACCTAGGAATACAGTAATTCAGCAGAAATACTCTATCCACGTAATGTCATACATCCACAGTCATGAAGCTTAAGCGCAAATTCAGACTGGGAAGAGCTGCATGCCGCAGTTCTCACCTGACACAGCTCTGCCAGCCTCGAGCCTCAGCCAATCGCACAGCTCGGCCAGCCCCCCTGCCAACCACTGACAGCAAAGCTGGCAGTTTAAAAGCAGCCACTTCCGACTAACCAGCCCTTCCTGAAGCTCTTGACACCCACCACCTCCCCAGCACCTCCTTGAGCTCCTGCTCTGGCTCCTGCTCCGTCCACGCCCCATTCACACCATGCTTCTAGCCACCACCAGTGCTTGACCCCGGGGAATCTGTGATCATCTCAGCAGCAGTGATCTCCCCTCTGCAAGTGTCACTGCGGGGTCAATGCACCAAACAATAAATCTTTCCAACTGCATTAACGTGTCTGTCTTGGTCTCTCCAGATTGGACTGTTATAGCGTGAAGCTGACGCTCTCAGAGCAAATGCAGCAGGTTGTCCAGATTTATTCAAGATTCAAGATTAATGATCAATGTCCCATAAGAGATTTGTCTTGGACTCACAGGCTGCATTTAGTCAGCCACCGATTGTGCAAGTTCTCTCACTTAAAATAATGACAGAGGTCTGTAATTTTCATCATAGGTACACTTTAACTGTGAGAGACGGAATGGGGAAAAAAAATCAGGAATTCACATTGTAGGATTTTTAAAGAATTTATTTGTAAATGATGGTGGAAAATAAGTATTTGGTCACTTCAAACAAGGAGATATCTGGCTCTCACAGACCTGTAACTTCTTCTTTAAGAATCTCTTCTGTCCTCCACTCGTTGCCTGTATTAATGGCACCTGTTTGAACTCATCTGTATAAAAGATAGCACAAATGTACCCAAAACGATATTTCAACCATTGATAATCTCCCTCGATCGCAAGATCTCATCCCGTGGGGTCAAAATGATCAGGAGAACGGTGATCAAAAATCCCAGAACCACACGGGGGGACCTGGTGAATGACCTGCAGAGAGCTGGGACCAAAGTAACAAAGGTTACCATCAGTAACACACTACGACGACAGGGAATCAAATCCTGCAGTGCCAGACGTGTCCCTCTGCTGAAGCCAGTGCATGTCCAGGCCCGTCTGAAGTTTGCCAGAGAGCAAATGGATGATACAGCAGAGGATTGGGAGAATGTCATGTGGTCATATTAAACCAAAGTAGAACTGTTTGGTATAAACTCAACTCGTCGTGTTTGGAGGAAGAAGAAGACTGAGTTGCATCCCAAGAACACCATACCTACTGTGAAGCATGGGGGTGGACACGTCATGCTTTGGGGCTGTTTTTCTGCTAAGGGGACAGGACGACTGATCCGTGTTAAGGAAAGAATGAATGGGGCCATGTATCGTGAGATTTTGAGCCAAAACCTCCTTCCATTGAGTTGAATTTGTGTTATTGACCAAAAACTTATTTTCCACCATAATTTACAAATAAATTATTTAAAAATCCTACAATGTGAATTCCTGGATTTATTTTCACATTCTGTCTCTCACAGTTGAAGTGTACCTATGATGAAAATTACAGACCTCTGTCATTATTTTAAGTGGGAGAACTTGCACAATCGGTGGCTGACTAAATACTTTTTTTTTTGCCCCACTGTACATCTAGCTACACTTACATTAGATGTATACAAAGATAAATATAAACGTAAAGAGCATTATTGACTGGGGACTTCACTGTAGATCTATTAAACCCAAGTCACAATAATAACACTGAAAAAAATTCATTGAAACCATATATAGTTTGGGGTTCTATCCAATGATTACAAAACCCACTAGGGTCACTCCACATAGTGCAACATTAATAGCTAACATTTTTTATAATGACTTGGAAGATGACTCCCACTGATGACTGCTGTCGTTGTGTCCTTGGGCAAGACACTTAACCCCACTTTGCCCAAAAAAGCTCCCACTGAAAGATCAAGGCTATGCTCACACTCAGAGAGCAGCCATCCTCCTGTGGACTCACCACCTGCAGAGGGTCAGTGAGGGGCTGGTGCTATGAGACTTGGGTGGCATCTCTGACTGCCACCCCCCTGACCCAGATATGGATTAAAGGGTAGAAAATGGATGGAATGGATGGATGGATGGACTTGGAAGATGCCACAATAAACGGACTGCTCATAAATGATATAACTGATCATTTACCAGTCTTTACCATTTTTGACGGGGATACAAAAATGGTAGAACAGGAAACACTCTCATACAAAAGACCGAGATCGGAAGAGTCAATAGGTAACTTAAAAAAGGAACTTGGAGAACAAAATTGGAGTTGTCTATACAAAGAAAATGATGTCAACATAGCTTATAGAATATTTCTGCACAGATTTAAAATGTTATACAATAAATACTGTCCATTAAAATGTTATAAGAAACATACACAAATGAAAGGAAATCCATGGATGACAAAAGGCCTTATAAATGCATGCAACAACAAAAAACTCGCTTTATAGGGAATTCCTTCTTAAAAGATCGCTGAACGCAGAAAGGAAGTATAAAAGATATAAAAATAAACTCATTAGCATATAGAGAACTTGCAAAAAAGAGTATTATAGCTCAAAATTGGAAAATAATAAGGAAAACACAAAGGTAATGTGGGACTTACTAAATTCCATCATTAGGAAGGGGAAGGAAGCCCCTAGTTACCCACAGTATATCATTCACAACAACAACACTTTAAATAACCTTACAGATATTACAAATGAATTCAATATGTACTTTGTGAATGTAGGTGCTAACTTGCTTGATGAAATCAATCATAATAGTGAAACAGAGTTACAAGCAGTGTCAAATGTAGATATAAATAAGAGCTCAATGTTTTTAACACCAGTTGCAGAAAAAGAGATCTTAGAAATAGTACATGATTGTAAACCTAAACTATCAGCTGATAGCGACTCACTAGACATGGTCATTGTGAAGAAAGTGATAGAAGTAATCACTAAACCATTACAGTTCATATTTAATCTATCCTTCCAGACAAGTATGTTCCCACAGGACATGAAGGTGGCCAAAGTGGTTCCTTTATATAAGGATGGCAACAAGCATTGTTTAAACAACTATCGTCCAATATCAATTTTATCACAGTTTTCTAAAATCTTAGGAAAAATATTCAAAATACGATTGGACAGATTCATAGACAAGCACACTTTATTATCAGACA